AAGTAAACAGCAATAAAATCAAGTATGTAGGATCTAAACAAAGTTGATTCAATCTATTCATCTGTTTAGAAATGAGCAAACATCAATATGTTTGGCTAGGGTGATACCCAATGACCACCTGAGTCAACATAACTGAAGACGACAGGCTCAGGGAGGTCCAGGTCCTTGTGCTACATGGACCTTCACCCAATGAAAGCATTAGAAATGAACTTTGTGACACCAGAATGAGGAGCAACAATAAAAACACACCCTAAATCAAAATCATTATCTGTTAAACTAACTTAGTTCTGAGCTGGGCTTTAGTTATTAAAATAATTTTAGAGAAACTAATAAATATGCAATCCACACCTGCTAATAACCATAAAGGGAGTTCTAAAACCCATTTTCAATACAAAGAGATAATTTATCTGTGCCTTATTCCCAAACAGTAATACCCAAACACTGAAGTGAAAGAGTTATCTGTTTATCTATTGGTGACCAACAACGGAACTTTAGTGCTTTCAAGAGCCAGGCCATTTTTATCCTTATTTTAAATTCTGTGAGCAGAGGCGCAATCTGCTGCTAGGGTCTGCTTAAATTCCAAGCACCTGCTTTCTCTGATCTGGAAGCAGATGGTCCGTCATAAAAATAAAAGTCAAGGGGAATATGCACAAAAAGATAGTCCCTTTAAAACCCTTTCGGAGGAGGCTCTTTTTCCTAAAATCTAATACTGTAAATATACATGTTTATGTTAATGTCTTAGCTCAGAATTGGGGAACTGATGCAGGGCATTAAAAAATTCCTCAGGCTCGGATCTCGGAAGATGGCGGCATAAGTACACGTCTGTATTTGCAGCCTCCCACAACCACATCAAAATTACAACTAAAATACAGAACCACCATAATCCAGAACTGCCAGAAAGCTGGCTGAATGGAATTCCTATAAGTAGAGCAGTAAAGAAGGAAGCACACTGAGACTGGTAGGAGGTACAAAGGCATGGAATGAGCTGATCCAGCACCCACGTGTGTTGCTTTTTTAACCTGAAGGGAGATCATCTCTATGGAGACTGCCCAGAGGAGCAAGGGGTCCCAGCCCCACACCAGACCCCCAGCTCAGGGTCCCAGAACTGGGAAAAGAATTTCCTACCAGCAGTAAGAACTACAGCTGTAAAAACCAGTGCTGGGGCTCAGTGACACAGAGGCTGCTAGAGACCCAGCTGTTCCTCTTAAAAGGCCGGCACCATGAACTGAACTTACCAGGTCCTGCCTCCTCTGAGCTCCAGCACCAGGGCAAGGCTCTGGGGAACACACACACATATAAGGAGGAACTAGATTGTCTGACACTAGGGCAGGAACACGGAAGTGGGGACAGGGCCTTCTCCCAGATGGAGGTACTCACAGGGATCATTGTTCCTATGCTGGGACCTCCCTTGTTGCAGGGCTGATTGGCAGCCATTTCTGTTTGCTCCATCCTGGTTGATCCCCTAAGACCAGCCTCATCCAATTTACAACTCCACCTAAGCTGTGTGCAGCACCTTTTACATATGAATGGCCTTTCCTTGCATAGAGTAAAATCTCTCAAATAAGCTGCAGCTGGATAAGGGAGCCCAAACTTATCAATAAAAGGCCCAAGACTTGGCACCAGCACCAGCCTGCCTTGCTTCATAGCTGGGCCTTGTCTGGGCACTTTCAAACCTGATACAAAGAGGAGGAATCAGCAGATCTCTCTGAGCTTCTGCTGGGTGGACCCAGGGAGTGGCTGACTTTGCACCTCCCTGGAGACCCAAGAGCCAGTATACTCAGTGGACCATACCAGATTATAACTCTACATCCATAAGCAACACACTCAAGGGGCAGATGCAGTGAGAACCAAAGCCCCACTGAAGCAAGTTCATAGGGTTATCTCCTGCATTGCAGCTCTCTCACTATAGTTGTAGCTGGTCCTCAAAGCCAATTGGCCTGGAGGTCAATTCCCCCCAGTGACATTAATAGCAATCAGGTCTCAACTATAACAAGACTGTGCTCACAGCCCACAAAGGGGTGCACCTAGAGCTCCCAGCTCAGGTGACTGGGGAGGCTGACCCACTGGGCCCTACAGAACACTTACTATACAAGGCCACTCTACCGACTCAAGGAGACATAGCAGCTCTGTTCAATAGGAACAAACACAGGGAGGCAGCCAAAATGCAGAGACAGGGAGGCATGCTGCAAATGAAAGAAATGGAAGAGAGGAGACTACTGGATATAGAGTTCAAAACCATGATTATAAGAATACTCAGGAATCTTCTAGAGACCTCCAAAAAAATGGAAAAGGACCAGTTAGAAATTAAGCATACACTAAACTGAAATAAAGAATAATATACAAGAATTCAACAGTGAAGTGGAGGATTCTGAGAATCAAATCAATAATTTGAAATGTGAGGAAGCAAAAAACACCCAACCAGAAGAACCAAAAGAAAAAAATCCAAAAATGTTAGGATGGTTTAAGGAGCCTCTGGGACAACTTCAAGCATACCAACATTTTCACTGTTGGGGTGCCAGAAGAGGAGAGAGAGCAAGATATTGAGGACCTGTTTGAAGAAATAATGATAGAAAACTTTCTTTATTTGGTGAAAGAAATAGATTTACAAGTCCAGGAAGTATAGAGGGTCCCACACAAAAGAAACCCAAAGAGGATTACACCAAGACACATCATAATTAAGATGATAAGGGTTGCCCTAGCTGGTTTGGCTCAGTGGACACAGAGCATCAGCCTGCAGACTAAAGAGTCCCAGGTTTGATTCCAGTCAAGGCACATGCTGGGTTGCAGGCTTGATACCCAGTAGGGGTTGTGCAGGAGGCAGCTGATTCATGATTCTCTCTCATCATTGATGTTTCTATCTTTCCTTTTCACTTTCTCTCTGAAATCAATAAAAATATAGTTTAAAAATAAAAAATTAATTAATTAATTAATTAAAATACCAAGGGCTAAAGACAAAGAGAGAATCTTAAAAGCATCAAGAAAAAGGAGATAGCTAACTATCAGGGCAACCCATATGACTTGTCTGCTGATTTCTCAACAGAATCTATGCAGGCCAGAAGGGAGTGGCAAGAAATATTCAGAGTGATGAATAGTAAGGATCTATAACCAAGATTACTCTACCCAGCAAAGCTATCTTTTAGAACTGAAGGTCAGGTAAAGAGCTTCATAGATAAGAAAAAACAAAGGAGTTCATCACCACCAAACCAGTATTATATGAAATGTTGAAGGGTATTCTTTAAGAAGAGGAAGAAGAAAAAGATTAAAAAATATATATATGAACAACAAATGGCAACAAACACATACCTATCAACAATTTAATCTAAAAATAAACAAAAAAGAAATCTAATGAACAGAATAAACCAGTGAATATAAAGAATCAGAGGTAAGGAAGTGGAACAGACTGACAATTCTCAGAGGAAGGGGGTTGAGGGGGCATGAAGAGATTAAACAAAGATTTTACATGCATATATGCAGTACCTTTGGACACAGACAATAGGGTGGCAAAGGCCTGGGGTAGGGTGGAAACCGGGTAGAGGGGAACACAGGGAAGGAAAAAAAGGAACATCTGTAATAATCTCAACAATAAAGATCCTTTTAAAAAAGGTCCTTAGCCTGATTCATATGCATGTGCTTCCATATTCCCATATGATGGGAAATAGCCTTTAATTTAGCTTATTAGCACCTAAGGCAGAACAGCTTCTTATTGGAATTCTCACTAGTATCCCAAACAGCAGCAGAAGCTGCTATTCCAACCTACAGCCTAACTGCAACTCTGTTGAGTTCTCAGAGTGACCAAAACACTGCTCAATGGCTATGTGAGTCAGCTTAAGCTGCTACAATGAAGTCCCACAGATTGGATGGCTTCAGCAACAGGAATTGATTTTCACAGTTCTGGAGGCTGGGAAGATCAAGGTGCCGGTCAATCCAGTCTCCCTGTAAATGTCCTCTCCCTGGCCTTCTCGCTGTGTCCTTACATATACAGAGAGGAAGCTTCCAGGCTCTTTTTCTCTTATAAGAACATGAATTCCAACATGGCGGCCCCACCTCAGGATCTCCTAAACCTAATGACCTCACAAGGGCCCCACCTCCAAATAGCATTATGGGGATTAAGGACTTTAACACACAAATTAGGGAGGGACACAACATTCCATCCAAACAATGGGATAACCTCATACATATATTTTATAGGGCTTATAGAGCTAAACTAAGCTGTAATAAATTATCCTCGATATGCTTTCCCACAATATTTAAGTAAGGTGGTGGTACTTCTCAAACTATAGGTGCACCAGAGCCCCCTGCAGTTTGGTAAACCAGTTTTCTTGGCCTGACCCACAGAGAGTCTGATTTAGTACGTCTGGTACAGAACCCAAGTGATTGCCTTCCTCAGAAGCTCCCAAATGCTGCTCATGTGATCTGTCTGCTAAATGCACTTTGAAAACCACTGATACAGGGGTTCCCTTTAGAATGTCAGAATCAGTTTTGCTTCTTTGGGCCTGTATAGGCTTCTCAGTAAATACCTATTTTTATGCTGAACACATTTGAAATGTGTCATTGGCTTATACTCAGATGTTGCAGTTACATACAAAGATGCCTAGAAGCAGATGGACAGATGTGCTGAGGCGAGGCTGCTTCGTGCTGTGAGCACCAATGACAGCCCATTCATCAGCATGTTTGACTGCTGATGTGCGGTTGCACAAGTCTCCAGGTTTTTCAAGGATGTCTGCTGACATCCGATCCTGACTAATCTTTTTCTTAGAATGTAGACTGAGTCTTTGAAGTTGCTGGATTCAGCTATCTTACCTCGATAAGCACACGGCAATAGTTTGACCTGACATCAGATTTTGAGATAGCTTAATATGATGCACTTAAGCAATGCTTAGCATTTCTGTTCAACTCATTTGTCCTATAATCACATTTGGTTAAATTTTAAAGCAAGGTTCTGCCATGAAACCGCATAATTTTAAGATTTACTTCAAGCACACTTTGGAATGTAAACATACCTTATTGAGCTTTACAAAATATTCCAAACCAGCTTCCAAGGGGTTTGTATCGCAGTTCATCTAAAAGAGAAGCACACATTTTAAATATTAGATGAGTGCAAATAATTTCAGTAACTTTCCTGGTTTTGTTTCTTTGTTTTCGTGTTGTTGTTTTGGAAAGAGAATACTTTTTTATTTTAAATATAAATTCTGAAAAAGGATAATTATTTACTGTGATTAATTATTTAAAGTGATTTTTAAAATCTAAAATTCAAATGTAGCCTTTCAGTTATTTCAATAGCAAAGTAGAAACTAAAATTCAGTTTGTTTCCATGACTTTTATTACAATAAATAGCTGAGTGATGCCACAACATGATGTTCCTTCCACAAACAAGACTTTCATGTAATAATTTTGCATAATTAGGTTTTGAAAAGTTATGAAGTAACTTGCTTATCTTACAATTATCCAGGATTCAGGATAAGTAGAGGAGAAAGCAGATGGTAGAGAAATGATTTTTATGGAATTCAGGAAAAGAGAAAAGCAAAAAGCAAACGTGGACTCTCAATTATATATATATATATATATATATATATATATATATATATATAGAGAGAGAGAGAGAGAGAGAGAGAGAGAGAGAGAGATTAGATATAGATATAGATATAGATATAGATATAGATATAGATATAGATATATAGATATAGATTCCTTTGGTTTTATTTTCTGGGATTAAAAAAGAGTATAGGTATAAATGTTTCACTTGATCCTCTTAAAGATATCCTTTAAAATAATTTATAAAATGGTTTAATTCAGGTTTCTTGGTTATCAGGACCCATCAATGTCACTGTCAGCCTTGACTAATTGGTTCAAAATTTCAGAACAAAAGAAGTAACTTATGAATATTTTCCCAATCCCTGAGAATCATAATCACCTCAGGACTATTTTATCCTTTCATCGTACACTTCCTGAAAGTAGATGTATGCATTCATTGTTAATAGGACAAGGAGTAATGTATAGAGCAGGACTGGCCCATGAGACATATAAGGCCTGCAAATCGTTTGGTTTGACCCTGCCAAGGCATTAGGTGTGAGTTAAGTGTTTGACCAAATACAGCAGGCTAATTTTTAAGCTGATAATTTTGTATGGCCTGGAAATGATACAAATATCCAATGGCCCTTAGAAAAACAAAAGGTTCCCCACCCCTGTCCTAGAGGATTAATCCATGTAAATTGGCTTCCACCAGTAAACAAATTTTCTGAAAATCAGGGATGTAAGTCAAGAAGAAAACCAAAGGAGGAATGACCTAGACCTGTGACCAGCAAACTGCGGCTCACGAGCCGCAAGTGGCTCTTTGGCCCCTTGAGTGTGGCTCTTCCACAAAATACCATGGCCTGGGCGAGTATGTTTTGAAGAAGTGGCATTAGAAGAAGTTTAAGTTTAAAAAATGTGGCTCTCAAAATAAATTTCAATCGTTGTACTGTTGATATTTGGCTCTGTTGACTAATGTGTTTGCCGACCACGTGCCTAGACCATTCTGCTGCAGTAGTGATCACCTGCGTTCTCAAGGTTCCAGTGGAGTTTCTGTGCTACATCTGAGCCCAAACTGCCACTACAAAAGTGCTGAGCAAGTCAGCAGGCTCCACACACTTGATCCACACCAGATGACCAGCAGTCGTCTGAGCCAGAAGACTTGTTTGCCATGAATTTGTGGCTGCATTTGGTAGGGAACGACGGTCTGAACAAACATACACAGAGAGCCTATACCAAAGGCAGCACTGCTCCACACACATGTGCAGCAAAAAAAGGTGGTTCTCTGGAAGTCTGCCGCAACAGAAAGTCCTAAACAGCTCAGCAATCCCAGTCCAAGGCCAGCCTTGTTTAATTTGCTGATAAACTCCCCTTGGGAATTCAGAGCATGAACTTGCTTATAGCGAACATAAATGGCAGAAATGCATAAAACTGTGGTGAAATTTAACAGACAAGCATTGTTCTGGAGCTACTATGCCAGTGTCACTGATACGAGGCGAACAGGGCAGCATGGTGGAGAGTCACAACAGTCATGTATGAGAGTGTGAAAGCTGCAGCTGTCCAATTGCATGGGCTGAAGGCAGGAAACTGAGGCCTTCCTGGCACCACCGCATCTCAAACAGTTCCTTGCTTCTTTGGTTTTATCTTCCTCACTAAACTTCAAGTTCTGTGAGAGCAGGACCCAACTGTTTTCTTCACCATTATCTTTCCAGCTACTGTTTTAGTCTGTCTTCAAATCTGCCCAACCTGCCCCTATATTCTCTGCCTTCTTTGAAGATCCATGCATCAGAACTCATAAATATTTAAATGCCACTGGTAATAAGATGAATTCCTTACGCTGTCTCCTCTACGTGGTGACTGCTTGCTAGGATGAGCCGCCAGGGCTGGCTCCTGGATCCGGAGCCTGCAGGCTGGACGGAGAGATGGGCCTCAATCTTTTCTAATGCAGCTGAGTTATTACAATATACTTCCAGTCAAAGCTAACACAACTACTGGAGACTAAGCCTGAAGTTAATGTTCTTGCCTGTTTATTTATTCTGTTGGTGTTTATCTCTTTTGCTCTAAGAGAACTTGTCTAAACCTCATAAAAAGTAGGCAAACTTTTAAGAAAAACGACATCGGCACGAACCTAAATCAAATGTGTAATATAAGCTGGCTTCACATTATATAAAATGTGGTCTCATATTTTCTAATTAATTTGAATTAATTATATTTTTTATCTGCTCAAAGTTTTAGAATTTCTCCCCAGAGTGAGGGAGGGTTTAAAACAAAGACCAGAATATTTACTGCCATGATACCACTAGAGGGCGTGCTGGCACTGCTGGGAAATCAGGGACCTGGGATGGAGAAAAGTTAAGAGGATGGTTCCCAGAGAAGGCAGAAGATAATAAAAGACAGGAGGGTGGAGGGAGGTGGAGAAATGCCAGACTCCAAGGACTGCTTCTATGGCTTCATTCCTTGGGGAGCAGTGTGGGGACTCTCCCTGATGCATCCTTATCTAAGGCCCTGGTTGTAGGCTGGGAACCCCTTGATAGTACCTCTCTCCTGCAAAACGGCCACCTGCCCCACGGCCCTTCTTACAGGCTCCAGGAGGCTGCCCTCCCCACCTCAAAGCCCACTTGCTTCTGCCCATAGTTTAACTGCCCAAGGGGCCCTGCCTGGGCTTCCCAACCCCCTTTGCTCTCAGTTGAATTCATTCTATTATATGCTAGGCACTTTATAGATTAATATCTATAACTCTGTAGGAGAAAGATTATCTCTATTTTATAGAAAAGTACAGAGGTCCTGGAGAGTCAAGGCCACATGTGTGCTGGAGGATAAATTCAGACCCAAGAGAGTCCTCTCTAATGTACACTCTTTAAGGCTATTCCTCATCTCACTTCTCAAGCCTAAAACCTTAATGTCTTCCAAGGAAACAACTAGGAATCTGAAAAAATTAAGGGGTCCAGAGATAGCCTGCCATACTGGAGATAATAGGAGAAAAAATTTAAACCATAGTTTGGCCACTTCATGTAACCTGGACAACATTACTTACTGTTCCTTAGTGTGATTGGGTGCAGAATGGGGATACCCTGAGCCCCAACCCCTTGTCCAAGAATCAGCAGTAATCAGGAGAACTGAGAAGGTACATGACATGATGCATATGAAAATGGTGTGTAACGATACAATGGAAATCCTTAGTTCCCATTATCAATGGTAGAAGTAGGCTAGACAACACATCCTAGACCATCAACTGTGCTCTTCAGGAAAAAAAAACCCTGTTTGTTGTTATTTCCCCAAAAGGAACAGGCTAAGAAGAAAATGAGAATGGGCAGCATGGCAGAGGAGGAGAAGGAGGAAGAGGAGAAGGAGGAGGAGAGGAGGAGGAAGAGGAAAGGAAATTTAAAAGATGGTCCTCCTATTGTGGGGCTAGGCAGGCTCCCTGAGAGCAGCTACAGCTCCACACACAGTCAGAGACAGTGTCCAGGGCTCTTTGCCAAGAGGAGGAATTAGGCAGAATAAACATTACATCATAATTACACTAAACTTTCAACTGGGAAATTGGAAAGAAAAACCTCTTCCTCTAATTAAATAAAGTTGCCTAATAATACATAACTTCTCTTACAGTCAGAGCCCATGTTAAGGCAGTTAAAACCAGTCCTTATAAAAATAAAGAAAAGAATGGAAAAAACAAAACTAGCCCTTTTATAAAAATCAGATACGATAAACAACATTTTAAGAAGATGCTGGCATTTCCAACCTCGGAGCCCCAGGCTCTGAAAGCTTTCTCCAGTCTTAGGGCATTCATGGCATATGTGCCAAAATTGTCAATTCCCTCCTCCTGGCCTGCATCCATGATGGCGTTATACAGCGCCGCAGAATCTTCTCGTCTGTGGTACAGCTCCCAACCCAGCTCACCTAAAAGAAACCCACAGGTGCCACCTCAGAGTAAGAACAATGGTCACAAGGTATAGTATACATCAGCTAAAACACATAAATGGAGAGATGCCATTTGTGCAACATAGACATTGCTAAGTTTTAAAAGAACAGTTCATTAAAAAAAAAAAAAAAGCAACAAAAATCTACTGCAAAATTCCTGCCCAATCCTGTCTCTCAGTGAGAGGGCGGTATCCAGGACACCTCTTCACATGACGTAGAAAGACTATGGTGCAGGAGGAGTTCATCTTGACCCTTGCCTGGCTTCATATTGAGCAATTAGCATGGCATAGTTTATCCAGATAAGGAAGTTCAAGGTTTAGGAAACTCTACATTCAACTCCTTGCCCCAAAATCACAAGACTTAAAAAAAACAAATAGCCAATTGACATTTATTCAAATAGTGTTCATTGTGGGACAGTCATAGTCTTCATTCCTCCTACTCCCCCTTTCTTTCCCACTTTGTCATTTCTTTCACCATTAGAGTTATAGGCAAAAAACAAAGGAAATGAAGCCCAGCCCAGTCTGCTTATTTTTCATTCTGCTCGTGCTTTACTCTGGTCACCATTTTGCCAAGGTTAGGTGGAAGGGGTGGAGGGGCGGGGGAGGTACACAGATGTCAGGGACTGTGTGTTCTCCTTATTCCCCAATGTTGAGGGCTGGTGGTGATGTGCTTTCCAAGACACCACCAGAGCAAGAGCAACATGCACTTGAACAAATGCCTAGGCACCAAGTACTCCTTCTGTGAAAATGAGGAAGTTAGATGTGAGCCCAGAGCACCAATGGGGAGCTGAAGAAAATTCATCCAACTCTGTGCTGAATACCTACTATGTGCAAGGTTAGGTACTATATGAAGACTTCCTCAATACACTCAGGGCCTAGAAAGAAAGATGGAAAACAGGAATGCTGCAAGAGAGCGAGACCATCTTGAATGTTCCCAGATAGAGTCTGTCCACCTAAATATTCTGTCAACCCTTCCAGCTGTTCCAGCAGCCATCATCTTCCCATCCTTCATCCACCCTTACAAGTGGTAGGCAGCTATAGAACAATTTGAAACTTGTGGAATGATCCCTCAGGCTAAAAGTGCAGAGACAGAATTGTCACAAAAGTTGGGCAGGAGAAATCTTTCTGATTTCTCATACTGATGAGAGAGAGACCATTTTTGGTAGCTTCTTTTAAATTTTACTCTAAATTATTTTCTGATTCTTACCAGTATAAGATATCCTAATAGCAGTGACAGGAATGTTGGAAACCTTTAAAGACTTGGTTTGAAGAAACTTGAAGACATCATCACTAAGATCTTCAGAGGTCAGTTTCTGAAGGACCTTTCTCGCGTGTGGCCCTGCAACCCCAAGGACTCCAAGCTCATCAGTTATGTTTTTAATTTCAACATCATATCCACCTTTGACTGCCTCTTCTTCAATCCATCTGCATTTGAGTCATAAATGTTGTGTTAAATCTTGCTTGAATAATGCATGTTGGTAACATATTTCTCTGAAGACATACTTGATGTCTAGAATTACCAGGAAGTCTCCAGGGCATCATTTCATATAATCACCTAATTTTTAAAGTTGAGGAATCTGAGTCCCAGACATGTTAAGTGATTTTCTGTAAACCACCTGCTTATATAAGCTGAGGGTAATTTTTCACAGTACAGAGGATCCTTCAATTGAAATGAGTTCTGGCACACAATTACTTCGAATAGTGACAGCCCTATTGTATTTAAACTAATGACTCAATCTTGAAAAATTAATTTAAACCCAAATTTTCTCTAATACCTGTACACAGAAGGCACATTCATGCTGCCAAAAGTCAATAATGGGCCTGCCAACAGACACAGAATTACTCTGACAATCGCAAGGAAAATATAAAAACTCTAAAGACTATTTTCAATTTCTGTCCTGATGAGTTATTGGAACCCGGTTATAGAGTTTGTTTATGACTTATTGAGTGTTCCCTAGGACTCCACAGGTCGATTGTTACCAAAATGGCTCCCAATACATCCTGGATAAGAGGATCTATTTTGCAGTATTTTATAACTAGAGTGAGAATCTGTCAGCATCAAGATTTCTCCTGCCCAACTTTTATGCCTATTCATTGCTAGTCTGACATTTAGTAAACAATAATATTCAAAATTCTAAAGATTCATGTGAAGGATCAACCTGACAGGTCAACAATCTAGAGCCAACTGTGGACCAGAGAGCACAAAGCATGAAAAAGGGAGAAGATAACCCAGGGAGGCAGCTTCCTGTACTCAATGTGGGCATCAGAATAAGAAAGACTGGCTTCAGCAAGTTACTTTAATGCAAACTTAAGTTTTCTCATCTGAAAATGGGAACAGTATATACCATGCAAATGCATATCTATTAAGAGAGTTAATTAATATAATATGTAAAAAGCGTTCTGACACAATGATGATGTCCATAAATAGGAGTTATTATTAGGACCAGTACAGGAATTCCTTTTGGAAGGGGGTGGAAATTAAATAATTTCCGTATAGACATAAAGTTTATTTGAATCAACAAGGTTTAAGAATTAAAGTTGTACTTTTGACTACTGGTCAAAGAAAAACTCAGTTTAAGATTGAGTCAATGTTTAATCCATATACAATTATCTTACTAGGTGCACACTTACCTAAGATCATGAAGTTCTGATCCAGAACCAGTTATTAATAGAAACTCCCCAGGAGACTGGTGAGATACAGTCAGCTCAGCATACACTCGACCTTTTGGTGTTAACATGTGACTTATATTTGTAAAACCCACCTGCACAAGAGAATTTAAAATTATCTCAGGATGAAAGAAAAAACTTATGTATTCCTTTTAAACCATCATGGAAATAAAAATGTGGGTGTCAACAATGAAAAAAACTTCCAAATCTTATCATTTATATAATTGGTATGAATTATTTACAAACCTAAGTCCAAGATTAATTTTGAAGTTCTCAGTTTAAATTGAAATTATTTGTCGTAAAAATTATACTTCAGTCAAAGTTGTAGTTCCTATTGACACAATTAAGAAAAGTTCAGCTGAAACCGGTTTGGCTCAGTGGTAGAGCGTTGGTCTGAGGACTGAAAGGTCCCAGGTTATGATAGATTCCAGTCAAGGGCATGCGGGCACATCCCTGGTAGGGGGTGTGCAGGAGGCAGCTGGTCGATGTTTCTCTCTCATCGACGTTTCTAGCTCTCTATCTCTCTCCCTTCCTCTCTGTAAAAAAAAAAAAAAAAAAAAAAATATATATATATATATATATATATATATGAAAAGTTCATAACATTCTTGGATGATAACTCATTCAATAAAAATTTAAATTAAAAAAAATAGCTTAGAATATTCTTGATCAGTTGAAGAATTCTGGTGTTCACAATAGTGGGCTAAAATAACATATTGGGGGTTTCTATTTTTTTGCTTTAAATGAGAGGATAGAGTTAAACGGGCTACAATCTTGAACCTTGTACCATTTTAAGCTTATCTACCTTTGGAATGACATTTGCAAAGAGATGGTCCAACAATCTAGTAGAATCTTGGCCTTTAATGTTAAACTTGCCAAATGGTGTCAGGTCAATCACCCCTACTCTTTGCATAACTTGTTTATACTCAGAGCCCACTGGCTCAAACCAGTTTGTGCGGCGAAAACTTGGCCTGAAACACAAAGTTTGTCATAAAACAACTGTCATACATTTTTAGAAAATTACAGAATAAGAATATTTTAATTAACCATATTCATCTAGTAAATCCTATTTGGGGGGGAAATGCAACCTGAAATTCTGCTCTGCAAATCATATGTTTATGTTGAAATCTAATTTTTTAAAGTTACTCATATGTCCCTTTTAACCCATTTCATAGTGAATAAATTATTTATTAACTAGAAAATAAGATAGGACATATGGGCTTTAAAATCTGGAAGAGAGCATAGAAGTCAATCAATCTCTTGTCACCTAAGGAGCAGTTAAAAAATGCTTTTTTTTTTTTTTTACCTAATTCAAAACATATGGGGGTGGAGCTATCTTGTCCAGCACTCCTCAAACATTAGTGCAAATAAAATCATTGCACTTATTAAAACACAGCTTCTGACACAGCAGGTCTCAGTGGGGCCACATTCTGCATTCACAGGCTCTACACCTGGACTAGCAAGGATCTGATCCAACATCTTCATTTCTTAGACAAAAGACAAAACATGAATTCCAAGGCTTTGCCTTATTTACTGATGGAGCTGGCCTGGAACAAAGGTCTCTGATTCATTATGCAGGGTCCCTTCCACTTGATGAAGTGAACTCCTAATGTGGTATTTTAACTTCAGAGCAGGCTTAGTCTGCAAAAATGAGTTCTCAGTAGTTTAATTATTAAAATAGTAAAAGAAACAAGCCAGATCCAAACAGTACAAGGTCAAGAATAGATCTGGCATTTATCTGAGTCATTTAGGGAAAACAAAAACCAACATTTTGCCCCCAGATAATCTAGACTGGCTGCCTGGGGAGCCCAAATAAAGTAATCAACAATAGCCCTCTACTATATTTTGCACCATTTAGGTTTGGTGTTAAAGTGGACATCAAAACTGTTTTTAAATACACAATAAAAAAAAAAGGTAACTTATTTCTAGATTTGCTATTTTTCTTCTCTTGGGTTATGAATTCTCGTGAGAAGAAAAAAAAAAAGTAATCACTATAAATCCCAAGTACAGTGATGACATGTAATCCAAGTAAAACAAAAGCAACAACTTTAGAGGAGTTCAGAGAATTGTTTTAGTGACAGTCTTTAGGTTTTAGATTAACCTTAAGTGCTAAGTAAATGATCCTTTCTCCTCCTTTATCAACAGTGCATACAATTTACATGACTTGATGTACACACACTGGGAGGTAATTGCTTTGAGCTATTCCTTGCTAACTAGACGACCCATACTTCCAAACTATATCCATACTATGTGACTCAACCAGGCATCCTAAGCTGGGACAAACCTTAAGGAGCCAACCAATGTCATGTGAGGATTTGGAGCGGGTGAGAAGGTTCCTCTGAGCTCCTGGGAAATGCCAAGTGGAGGCTGGTGTAGGGCTCGTGGGGCCAATGGGTCTTACAGGTGGGCCAGTGTCTTGTGGGATAGGCTAATGGCTCCACTGCCAGAAAGTAAATGTTGTAGGAATGAGGTGGAGAGATGGGGTTGGAGGGGAATCGGCACTGATGTCCCTCCATCCCACCTCTGAGATTGCATTCTGCAGCCAGAGCCCCAGGCAGGTGAAGTCATTTACTTACCTGTACCCGGTGTCCTGGCCCGGTCTGTAGAACCAGTGTGGCTGTTCCCAGCCCGCATGGAATCCCATGGAACATTTAGACTCCAGGGTTTTGTAAAGCCCACTGACTCGCTGAGTGGGCCTCCCAGCAAACCGTTCTTCCTTAGGGTACCCAACTGAAAAAGGAAACCTAGGACTTTAACAGCATAAAACCAAAGCGAGCAAATACTTTGAAGGGATTCACAAAATGGGAAACGGTACTTAAAATCCAAAAGTATATACCTGTATTAAACTGATGTAAAACAAAACCCTCAATGCTGTCATTTTTATATTGATCATCAAAGGGGAACGTCAAAATGAATTTAAAGCCGAAAATCACTGACGCACTCCGCACATGAAGTATATACACGAATATAGATTTCTTGTTGCATCTTAGAGGCACAACACTTTCCAGACTCCCCAACCACTCCCACCAAAATGCACGGAACAAAAAGCATCTAGGGTCAGAGGTGCTGCGAGTCCATTTTGTACACACTTTGTAGACACAGTAAATTTGCATTTTACCAATATTGTTGAATCCATACGACTCTCTTGCTTTGGCCTCAGTGTACCGAGTGGTCGTCCATTTGCCATATCGATTGGGATCCAATTCTATTAGGTCAAAAGGAGGCTCTCCATGCAGGATCCAGTCACTGAGATATTTCCCTATCCCCCCGGCGTGGATGATGCCGTATCTTTCAAACACAGAGATATATATGCTGTTACTGACACGCGTTATTTCCAAACAACAAAACATGTCCAAGTATTTTACAGGACCTGAAAATTGGGGTGTTCTGTGCTATTCATAATATTTAGGCTATCAAATTTTTTCCTCAAAAAGAAAACATATTTAGGCATCCAAGTGAAATGCACCTGACTTTGTAGCTAGTTTGTTTCCAGTTTCAAGAGATAAATACATGCAAAGTGGCCTACAACTCTTAGCTAGTAAGGATGCTCACTTTAGGAAAATGGGGTGAAGAAAGCCACAGGCAGATGTAGTTGGTACCTAACCATCCCTATTGAGCCATCCCTAGTGATTATCCTGATTGGAAATTTGCAGAAACTTGTACACTGTGGAATGGGATGCTCATCTCTTCTTGGACCAATTTAGTTCAGTGCTAGGATCTTGGGCCATTATCTTAGAAGCATTCACACAAGAGGCACTCACCCTGGGACTTGTGGGTAGGAGGCAGAAAGGAAGACTGGCTCCTGTATTTTGTAACTAATGGGTCACTTGGTGTAGAAGATGGGCTTTTTATTTCCATATGAAGATCCTTTAAAACCAAGAACACGATTATGGCAAATTTTGTGATCTAGATGGAGGGATCATAATTTAATGTTGGCTGTGTCTGGTTCCTCACACTCACTCTCGCCTAGTGAAGGATTTACTGTGGGTTCATCTGTGGTTTAAGAGAGGCTTCTGGGGAACTGACTGAGCAGGGGCTATGGAGAGACGACCACGAAAAGGACCTTCATGAGCAGACCTCTACATGCAAGAAATTACAGGATCAGATCACACCACCTTAACAGCCAGGTTCTAAGATTTGGGAGGAACTTAGCAAAGACTGGAAATGCCAACTAACTTTTATCAGGTTTGTTATTTGATAAAAGCAAGTGCCTAAATGTGTTAGAAGGCTATTTCTCTAGCAGAATAAAAACTCAGCAATAGGTTTAAGAAGAAAGGCCATTCAAATTATCCACAAACAATTTAAGTTTTACAAAAGCAAGAAAAATTATTAAATATATACTTAAAATAATTATGAAAGACATGCTTAAAATGTTTATTCACTTACCCAGGCCCAATGTATGCAATACAACAGTTGCCATCTTTTTTTTTTTTTTTAATATATTTCATTGATTTTTTTACAGAGAGGAGGAGAGAGAGATAGAGAGTTAGAAACATCAATGAGAGAGAAACATCGACCAGCTGCCTCTTGCACAACCCCTACCGAGGATGTGCCCGCAACCAATGTACATGCCCTTGACCGGAATCGAACCTGGGACCTTTCAGTCCACAGGCCGACGCTCTACCACTGAGCCAAACCGGTTTCGGCAACAGTTGCCATCTTTGAAAGCTAGAGGTACTGTATACAATACTTGAAACTGTATAAACTTTTACTGACATTTATTGAAAGTGCTTACCATTTTCCAGGCATTGTTTCCATCTAACATGTATCAACTGATTAATTCTTTAGCAACTATTTTGCCAGCGAGAAAATCTATCCGCACATAGGTGTGAAATAAGATCACACAACAGTAAAGGGCAGATTCAGTATAAAAATTCAGTCATCTGACCCCAGTGTATACTCCCTCTTATTGGACTTGACTTTGATGGTTCTCTATCTTTTTTTCAGCCAAGACACACGTGACAGAACTCACATCTCTGACAGACTCCTTGAGCATAGCCAGGTTTGTACTTTGGTTTCCTCTGGTCTCATTGCTATACCATCATATTCTTTCCCTGTCAGCAATGCTCATGAGCAAACAAATGGGGCAGAGTGATAGTATTAGGGGATCATCCTGAATCAAATCTAATTTCTTTTTAAAAAGTAAAACTTTTAATAATGTCCACTTTCTAACCATCACCAATTTATATGTAAAATGCCACATAACTAAGTGTTATGAAACTTCTATTGAGAGGCCCTGTTTTAGTAGCTAAAAGCATAGAATAAGGAGATCTGGGTATGATTTTTATTCTGCCGCTCCTAGCTGCAGGACCTTGGGCAAGTTGTGTAACCACCCTGAGCTTTAATCTTCTCATTTTCTTTAAGTGCTCATTTTCTTTATAGTGTTGATGAAGAATGAATTGACGTGGCATTTAAAAGCACATGTGATATAGATGGAGGCAAATAATGTGATATAGATGGAGGGATCATAGTAGGCAAGCAATACATGGTTGCTGTTGTAACAACAGAGGATGCTCAGTTGACAAGAAAAAGCAAATCATGTTGGACAAACATGAATTATGGTGAAAACAGCATCAAATATGTTATACATTTGATTTTTTTGTATTATCTGTGTCACATTGTATTATAAAAATATCCTTGTAAGTTGGGGCAAACTGCCCTAAAGAGACCCAAATAATGGAAATGGCAGAAAATATGCAAAGAGAAAGTTCCAGGAAATCATTGGCTTTCTGTGTGCAAATCTTTAAAACCTATACAAGTGATGAAACCATTTAAGTCTAACTTTTTTTATTACTCCCGTTCCATTGGTCATGAAAGGGAAAGTGCTCTGTTCCTTTCCCCCATTCCAATTTTGGCCTGAGATTATGGGACAAGACTTTATAGCACAGGTTGAATTACATGGAGATACTCACCCAAAGCCAATAGCCACCCAGTAGTTTCTGAGCCCTTGATGAGGACCCACCATAGGCAGAATGTCAGGGGAATAGGTGATAGGACCATTGACAATATTGATGATGTCAGCCTTCTTCAAGACCGGAACCATTTCCATGGCAGCTTCGACGTGTTCCATGATCCGGTCCAGATCTGACTCAAAGAGTTCCTTTCCAAACCCTGAAAGGACACACCACTGATCAGGATGCACAGCTTCACGGACAAGTTCTCTAATGTGATTTAAATCTCTGAACTGGGATACGCTTCAGGATGGCCTGTTAGGAAGGATTCCCTCTGGTTTTAATATATATTTTAATTATATATGATACAATATATATTTTAATTATATATGATACAATAATAAATGTGGTTTTTTTAATTGATTTTAGAGGGATAGAGAGCTAGAAACATTGATGAGAAAGAGACATCAATTGGCCTCCTCCTACCGGGGATTGAGCCTGCAACCCAGGTGTGTGCTCCCACCAGGAATTAGACTTTCTGGTTCATGGGTCAACACTCAGCCAGTGATCCGTGCTGGCCAGGCTCCTCTTTTTCTTTTTTAAGTCTAAACTTGACAATCACTATCAACAGATGGGTAAACACTATATTATTAAGAACAATAGCGTTATTTCTTAAAAACAGTAAAATAATGAGTTAACCTTTTTAATTAATAGAAAATTTAAATTTATACATGATAACAGTTTGCAGTATTTAATCCAATCACAATTTTAAAAAATAAGCAGCGATTATTTGGTTTGTTAAGAGAGACCTTTTATCTTTCAACTAACCAAAAAATCTGCTTCATCTGCCCAGGTGAGCGCAAATGGGAGTTTAGTAAGCCAGGCCAGGACACTGGGCTAAGTGGAAAACTACTCTGGGAGTTAAGAGGATGAATTCTACATCCCTTTTAAGTCTCAGCAGGGGAGGAATGGCACAGAGGCCTCTCTCCCTGAGCCTACTCCCAGACATATCTGAGGGCTTGGAGTGCAGTCATCTACTCAGTCCTACAAGGCACTGTGGCTGAAGGCAGAGCCACAGATGACCTTCTAAAAAAATATATGTGTCCACCAATACTGATGATTTTCCCACACAGCAGCCAGCCAGTTTCTTCCTGTTCCTCCCATGGACTGCACATTGGGTCAGTGGCCTGGAGACCTACAGATCAGCAGGATTTGACTAAAACATGTGGGTGCTCAGGGCTAGTGAACAGTCTGGTTTTCCCTCCAACTGCAATTACTAAAACATTTGTTCAACGTTTATTTGGCGGAGAGGCTGCCAGCATGGAGCAGAACCAAGAGGGAGGCTCCCAGGTGGCAGACCAGCCATCCCTCGGGGTCAGGAGCTATTCTGCTCAGGCGCAAATGTATACAGCAAATCAGTAAAACTAAACCCTTAGGTAACTAATTGGCCCAACCTCTGTTGAAGGCAGTTTAGTGATCACTTGTGACATGGACAGAAGCACTCTTTGAGGAACAGTAGGGAGGGATTCAGTCCCTGCCTCAAGTAGCTTATCGAAGTGTAATTCTAGAAAGTATAAATCCCTCCATTTCACATTATAATAATTGTGTAGCAGTGACATTTTGACTTCTTTTATAGATTAAGACCTGAACTACCTCTTTCATTGACCCAATCTTTAGCCCGGCTCTGTGGAAATGTCCCATGAATACCAGAAAGAGGTCCTTTTCCCTTCCAAACTTGAAAGAGAAACAGTAGTGCCTCCTGTTTAGCACAGAGGCCTGAGCCTTTTCCTCGTCACCTTATGCAGTAGGTTGGCTTCAGTGTGTAGTCCTAACCTACATGCTCTATGACAGACTCCAAGGCTTCCTTTCTTAGCAGGCTGGATATCCTGTCTCTGATATCTGTCCTGTTTCCAACTGTCAAAGCACAGTAGCAGCTAAATCTAGACACTAGACACAGCAGAAGGGGGAGTGAGGAAAGAGCAGGGATGCTGGAGGTAGGCATGGGCAGGTAAAAATTACCTAGAGCCTTCCAAAGCAGTGGGGAGCGTGTTTCTTCAGCTTCTCCACCACCTGCCTCTTCTCTCTTTCCTTACTCCCTGCCGTGACTATTCAAAGGGAGAGGAGAACAGAAGTTACCTCAAACCCCTCACCCCCAATATCCCAGATATCCAATAGTTCAGTGTTATGACATCATCTTGTTCTGTGGCCAGCCCTCAGCCAGGGGGGAGATAAAACACACATGCCTGCTATGCTCACACTTCCATGGCTACACTTACCTGGAGGGACTCCACTGGTGACCCAGGAGTCCTGAACTTGCATTTTCTCCTGACTTTCATATGGACCAAACAGGAGCCCATCCCTTTCCTGCCGGAGGTAGTAAGAGCCTTCCAGGTCACGGAGCACAGGGAGTTCTCGTTTCAAAGCTTTTACTTCAGGGATAGTCGAAGTGACAACATACTGATGCTGAACCGGAATGAGAGGATGTTCTAGTCCAACCATTTTACCAATTTCACGAGCCCAAAATCCTGAAATAAAAAGTCATTTTTAAATGTCACCACATCTAACACTGATCTAAGATGATGGATTCTAAACCCCTTTTAACTCTCAGCAGGCCTCTCTCCCTGAGCCCGCTCCCAGACATATCTGAGGGCTTGGAGTGCAGTCATCTACTCAGTCCTACAAGGCACTGTGGCTGAAGGGAGGGCCACAGATGACCTTCTAAAAAAATATATGTGTCCACCAATACTGATGATTTTCCCACACAGCAGCCAGCCAGCTTCTTCCTGTTCCTCCCATGGACTGCACGTTGGGTCAGTGGCCTGCAGACCTACAAATCAGCAGGATTTGACCAAAACATGTGGGTGCTCAAGGCCAGCGAACAGTCTGGTTTTCCTTTCAATTGCAATTATTTAAACATTTGTTCAACACTTATTTGGAGGAGAGGCTGCCAGCATAAGACAGTTAGAGGACTTCAGTACTAATGGCAAAGTCTAAACAATGTCAATATGATCTTTTCTTTGTCACTGCAAAATTGGGGGAAGAGGAGACAAGACAATATTGTACATTGTCCAGAGTTTTGAAGATAATTCTAAACTCTAAGAAAACTCTATTCCTGAAAAAGTATTTTGCCCACAAGCAAAAGTGGACAGAAAAAATGCACAAAAATATATTTGAAGGAAAAAAATAAATAATCCGAGTATATAAAATGTACCAATGTTGGTAAGAAAGACGGTAATGAGCTGACTGGACCTGTAGCACAGGGATGAGCATGAAAAAGGCCCCGTGTGGATGTGAGCAATGTAAAACATCACACCCATGAATCAAGCCCTGCAGGTCAGCTCCCTCTGTTCCGCAGGCCCTCCTTTCCCCAAACTGTGGATGCCTAAAATTCCACAAATACAGAATTGTTTTGTTATTTTAAAATTTGAACGTGTATCTACTTGGGGAGAGATAACATTAAGTTTTCTCTGTTATTTTAAAAGTTTAATTTGAATATGTTTGTAAGATCTTTCCTTTCAAAGAAAGGGCAGAAAGGCACCAGGAATCCAGGGCAGGAGGGAAGAGGTACCACAGCCAAGGGGAGTGGGCTTACAAGCAGTGGGGATTCCTGCTGCAATGTTTCTCTCTTCACAGTGGACAGGGGGGCTGTCCTGTTGGTGGGAACAAATGCAATTGTTTTCCTTTGCAAAGGATGGAACCAGATAATTTGTGGAAGAAAGGAGCCTGGTTCTAGCGTCTATACAGTGACACTGATAGTTTATACAGTGACATTCATTGATGCAGAGTATCAGGCAAAATTAGGCAATTCTTTTGGGCTGAACACTGGACTTCATATTGGCATGATCCAGTCACATTTATGATTTGTCATGTCAGGAAAAGTCTTAAGACAAGTTTACAAAGTTATGTCAGGCATAATGAGGCAATTGGAAATGAAGTCAAGAGAAACATACATCACTACGCAAAGAAAAAGCTTGCATTATAATAAATACCTGACAGGAGGGATAAAAAGAAGAGAGAATGAAGCAGTTTTTAAAGCAACAATAAAAACAAATTAGCTGATTGTACACCAAGAGAGCAGGAATGTCATAAACTCTTCTTCAGCTCTGTTTTTTAAGAATGAGGTCACTGCATCCTCTCTCCTGTAGGAACATCTTTATAGCAGTGTTCCTCAAAACATATTTTGCAGACCATCTAGTACAGACAATACAGTACTTGTTTAAAATACTGCTTCCCTTTAAGTCAATCTAATTAGAATATTTTTGAAATCTGGGAACCAAACTTTTTGGGAAGTCAATTTACCAGCAGAAGGGGTACTGGTTGACCAGAGTGTAAGTAAAAGGATTTGGGTAATCTTTAAGGACAGAGTGGTAGCTCCTCTGAGAGCACAGTGACAAAGGGAGGGCTTTGTAGCTTAGAAACAGCCAAAATGTTTACCTTGGCTGTGTTTTATAACAACGTTCATAGAGTAAAACATTACTTTATGGTATAATATGTAATTTATTTTCCACTTAAAGAATCTCATTAATTTAAACAAATGATATGACACTTACCTGCAGCATTCACAATCCTATTTGCTCTCATAGATCCCTGTGGTGTTTCAACATCCCATGTTCCATCTGACCTGGGTTTCAGAGAAGTCACCGGTGCAGGATATTTTAAAAGGGCACCATATTTCCTAGCCCCAGCAGCCAGAGCCATAGTTAGAGAGTAAGGATCAATATGACCATCTCCAGGATTATACAGCCCAGCTAAAATCTAAATTGATCATAAAAAAATCAATACTCAAATGAATATGTACTCATTATTCGGGGTGACTATATCCACCAGCAAATGTTTAAAAAATTGGACTTGAAAAATGCATTGAGGCATCAGATTAATCAGTCATTTTCCTGTATCAAAGCTCAGACTTAGGCCAGAGGTACACTGAGCATTAAGTAGGCAGGCTGAGAGAGCCTAGCAATTATCTTCAATATCCATCCTCTCCTCCCCCTCATAGAAATAAAAATGGTATGTTTATTTAGACACATGGATGCTAAGAACAATTTCCCATAGTTGGCAGCTATTAGCCCTAGTAGACAGATAAAACTGTTACTAAATTCTGGTCAATAAAATGCAAATGAAAGTGTCATGTGGCAGCTTCCACAAACCATTATAAAAAGGCAACTGGCATAAGTCCTTTGTCTCTCCCTTCTTCTGTGCCCCTTCCTCCATTTCCCAGTTTGGAATGCAGACAGGATGGCTGGAGTCCTAGCTACCACTTAGAATAAGTACAGAAGAGTCACACCCTAGGAATGACAGAGCAATGATGTGGAAGATGACTGGGTCCCCTGAATTCTTCATGGAAAACAATTAGCATTCAAATCCAGACTGTCTAAGTAAAAGAGAAATAAACTTCTATCTAGTCTAAATATTACTGGTTTCTGACATTTGTAATCAAATCTAATACTAACTGATCAAATATTTATATATAATTTTTAATACTGTTAGTAAATTCACATGCTAAATATATGCCTGGTGTCAGGAAAATATAAACTTAATTCAGTCATTCAACAACTATTTCTTGAATACTACTCTGTGGTAGGGCTTGAGGCTAGTACTATGGGAGAAACAAAGAACAAAACTCAGGTGAAATAGGAGTGAATACTCTGAAGTGGTATATTTAGGTCTTAGCCATTACACAAAAATCTACTGTGTACCAAATATGAGCCAGGCAATGCCAACTTTTTTGTCTGCATCTATTGAGATGATCATCTGTTTTGCCTTTTATTCTATTAATGTAGTGCTACACTGATTGATTTTCAGATGTTAAACCATCTCTGTATTCTTGGAATAAATTCAATTTGGTCATGCTGCATAATCCTTTTTATATGTTGCTGAATTAAGTTTGCTAGTATTTTGTTGAGAACTTTTGCATCAATATTCATAAGGGATACTGATATTTCTTTCTTTGTAATATCTTTGTCTGGTTTTCATGTCACAGCAATACTAGCCTCATAGATGAGTTGGGAAGGGTTCAATTCTCTTTTATTTTGGGAAGAGTTTGTGAAGACTTGGTATTAATTCTTCTTTAAATGTCTGATAGAATTCACTAGAATTCTTTAAATGTCTGATAGAATTCATTTAGGCCTAGGTATTTCTCTGTGGGAAGTTTTTGATTACTAATCCAATCTCTTGTTATAGGTTTAGTGCAAGAGACTTTCCATTTTAATGCAATTCATATTATGGTATGTCACACTAGTGTTTTATAATGGGTATATCATCATAGTGATCCTATACCTATTTAATTTGGCATCCTGCCCCAGAGATGGAGAATACTTTTCTCCATACTTAATGCCCTTGAAAAAACCTGATGATGAGCACTTCCAGCAAAGTGTCCCAAGATTAACATATACACAGATATAAGCACATCTGATGGAATTTCAATGTAGACAATGCAATGCCACACCAGTCTGCCATCACAGTAGCATCACACAACACTATAGACAAGGGAGTACCAATAGCCTGTAAAGACTCACAAGGGCAAACAATCCCAGCACCCAGATCAAGGATACAAATCGTTTGGTATCAGAGATGTTGCAGGAGTTACCAGGGAGAAACATAACCCTCTGCTTCCCTCAACAGCCCTACCTGGTACCTTTAGGTAGTATATACAAAGGAGAGAGTTGGGTTCAAATCTCTGCTCAGCTGTTTCCAGCTGGATGAGCTTAGACCCACTATGTAAACCATCTAAGCTACAGCAGCTACAGTTTTCTGTTTATGAAACATACTAGAGACTCGGTGCATGAAATTCATGCACGGGGGTGGGGGAAGTTGTCCCTCAGCCCGGCCTGCACTCTCTCCAATATGGGACCCCTTGGGGGATGTTCAACTGCTGGTTTAGGCCCTATCTGGATCAGGCCTAAACCGGCAGTTGGATATCTCTCTCACAATCTGGGACTGCTGACTCCTAACCACTTGCCTCCTGCCTGTCTGATTGCCCCTAACTGCTTCAGTCTGCCAGCCTGATCACCCCCTAACTGCTCCCTTGCTGGCCTGATCGCCCCCAACTGCCCTCCCCTGCTGGCCAGGTCACCCCACATAGCCTGCTGTTCAGTCATTTGGTTGTTCCTCACTAACCCCCCTGCCTTCCTGATCACCCCTAACCACTCTGCCTGCCGGCCTGCTCACCCCCAAGTGCCCCTCCCCACTGGCCTTTTTTCCAACTGCCCCCCACTGCCAGCCTGCTTGTCCCCAATTGGCCCCCCCTGCTGGCCTGCTAGCCCCCAACTGGCCCGCCTGCCAGTCTGCTTGCTCCCAACTGCCCTCCCCTCCTGGCCTGATCAACCCTAACCATCTCTGTCTTGGCCTTGCCACCATGGCTTTGTCTGAAAGGATGTCCAGAAGGTCTCCTGGTCTAATTAGCACATTACCCTTTTATTAGTATAATCAGTCATTGCTATTATTATGAAAATTGGATTATCACCCTGCAAAAAAAGGCACTTAATTCTCAAGTGTATTCTTTTAGTCAAATCTGGTTAAAACTAGATAAATACATGGCATAGAGCCTTGCAGGGAAGCATACATATGAGCTAGGGGATATTTGTGTAGCAATATAGTAGTATTTCTACACTTGATTTTGTAAAAAATTTTAATAACACAATATTTCCTGGGATGATATACTTATTATCCCAGGTTATCATTTTATTTGTAGTTCTCAAACTGAAGGTTTATGTAAAGAAATCCCCAGATCTGGGAGACACAGTAATTGAAAGGTATTGAATATGTTTCCTCAGTTGTTTTAGGTGGAAAACTAATAAAATTTTTCATTACCTTTTCATATTTCATTTGGCTTACACAGTGGCTCAGCTTGTAATTTACCCAAATTCCAGTATTAATCATTTAATTTTGCCATTTAAAATGTGTGTTCAAAGTTTTTCTATTTTTAATTAACAACGTCAAATAACTTTTTCTAATCTTAATTCCAGTCAATAAATAGTGAAAATGCCCTTAGGATAAATACCTTGTTCATGTTGAGTAAAGGGAACATCTCTTGAATTTTCTCAGGTTCAATAATATACTGTTCTGTTGCATGCCAGCCAGTCCGAGTCATTTGATATTTAAATTCATCTACCCTTACAGGAGTTGTAGCAATTCTGATACTACCTGGCTGATGGAATCCCACCACCTGTTATAATAATGCCAATAAACACACGTCAATAAATCTTTATTTGACACTGAAACATGATTCTTCTTCCATACAATGAAAATGCAGATATACAACATAGGAGATCTACCACTCAGTGAAAGAGATAACTACATAAACATATTTGAATCTTATAAAGAAACATTCATTCACCAACTATTCACTAACTGCCTGCTCTGTGCCAGGCACTATGCTAAGCCCCAGAGATGCTGTTATGAACAAGAGAGGCAAAGACCCTGGCTTGTATGGAGCTTGCAGGTGAAGCGGAGAGCTAAATGCATAATTCCATTATACAAGATAGTATTAATGTACAGAGTGAAAGAAAATTATGTGGAAAAGAGAACAACAGAGGATCTGAGGCAGGAATATGAAGAATCAGAATGCTGCAGTGATGAGATTGTGACATGAAACAAACCTTCATTTGACATTTAATCGAAGTCCTTCAGGTGGCCAAGCACTCAGCGTGGCCCTGGGGTTACAGAAATAAATGATGCAATCTTTGCCCTCAGGTTGCTCATACTCTGTAGGGAAGACCAAACAGTAAAGCAACAACCACCATAGAGAGATGGGCGTTATAGAGAGGGATACACCAACATTCTTAGAACCAAGCGGCATGTCTTCAGCTCTGCCTGGGTGGGCAAAAGTCAAGGCCAGCTTCTCAAAGGGGATGATCCCAGAGAAGATGGAGGGTAAGTGCTGGAATGGGAGCCAGAGGAATGTTGTTTCAGGCAGAGAGCCCAGCACATTCCAGAACTGCAAGTAATTAAGAAGAGCTGAAGCATCTGAGCATAGCGAAGAGCAGTGAGAGCAAATGCTGGAAAGGCAGGCACAGCCCGGCTGTGCAGGTCCTCCTCCTCTGTCCTTTGTCCTGTAGGCATGCGGATGGCTGTAGGCAGGGAAATGGCCTGAGGATTTTAAGGAGACTTCAATCTTAGCCTATGGATATTCTCAGCCTGCCAGTTTATTTTCAGAATGCTAATTACTGTGAGAAGAAATAAAAATAAAAGTGAGGGGCTTTTAATGAAGTACTTTTCAAAGCCATGTGACAGTATGTGATCCACCGTTGTCAGATCCTTTGTCATCCGGTGGCTGAAAGGTTCTAATTTCTTAGCTTCTAGATATAGTAACTGAATCAAGGTATTTTTAAAAGCTGCTGCTTTGTATTCTCCCTTCATTAAAAAAAAAAAAAAAAAAAAAAAAAAAAGGGCGAGAAGAGGGGGTAATTACGTGGGTAATACACTTCAAAAATTCAAACTGATTGGAGAGCACACTTCAGTGGTTACCTTAAACTCTTATCAGATTTCTCTACCACATTAAACATTTCACATACCCTTGATGCCACCACACACAGATATATATGATGATGTCAAAATCATTCAGAGATCTTACGTATTTCTAAGACACTCACCTAAAAGTCAATTTCAAGTTAAATGCATTTACCTGTCCAGTTTCTTCTTCCAGTTTCTCATAAAGTTTGATACTATCATAGTGTATTTTCTTCAAGTTTATTCCAGGATGAAAGTAAGTCGTTAAACCTGCCTTAAAAGTGAAGAGAAAAGGAAATACTGAAAAAAAAAATTAACATTCTGAAAATGTTGATAGCTTATCTGTTAAGCAGGAACTTATTGCTGGCAAGAAATCAGCCAGCCCCATGAAATGAGAACACATCAGCTGCAGTTGAGCAAATCCAGAGCATAAGACTTGTTACACAATTTTAAGAACAGTTTGAACAGTAATGTCAGAGCCAACCAATGAACATATATATTGTCTCTAAAAGTTATTAGCAAAAATGTTGTATGAAGATTCAGGAATGGAATGGTTTAGGTAGGAAGTTTAGGAACATATGCCATGAGGAAGAATATGGGGAGATGGTATACAATGTGAACTCAAACCAGCAAATCATGGGTGTTCCCTTAAGGGGAAGGACTATAGCCTAACAGTTTTCCTTGACCCAATCCCCACCATTCCCTTGAGTGCAGCAGACCTTCTGTTTCCTTTGAAATTTCCAAAATTCAAAAATTGGAATGTTCCTGGAAATTGTAGCCTAGTGATTTGATGAACAGACTTTTGTCATAGCTTTACCTGTTTGATGAGCACATAGATTGTACCCCACAAATATTTGTTGAATAAATACTAAGTAATAACTCTCAGGAAAAAAATATCTAAATGTTAGCATGCCAAAAACCCTTTTATCAACTCAGATGCAATGTAGTATCCAGATAAAGAATCCCAAGCAATTATATGAAGCAAGTTCTTTTGGTTAAGTGTCTAGGGCCCGAAATTGCTGCAATGTAACCTGGAAAGTTCATCAAATAAAATCTGTTTAGGAGTATTTATAAGGTTCTTCTATGATATTGGTGGACAATTGGTTCTCCTGAACTCAAAAACACCCCATTTAAAGGTTCATTAATCCTTCCTTATTGATTAGAATCCTCGGGCTTCTATCAAGTACTTGCTCAAACATTTGGACATATGCACAGCTACTTTTTGTTTGTTTGTTGTTAATCCTCACCTGAGGATATTTTTCCCATTGATTTTTAGAGAGAGTGGAAGGGAAGGAATAGGGGAAGAGAGAGAGACAGAAAGAGAGAAAGGAAAAAGGAGAGGCAGGGGAGGGAGACGGAGGGAGGGAGAGAAAAGAGAAAGAGAAAGAGAGAGACAGACAGAGACATTAATATGAGAGAGACACATCAATTGGGCCTCTCAACTGGGGCTGGGCATCAAACTCACAACAGAGGTACATGCCCCTTGATTGAGAATCAGACCTGTGACCCTTTGGCTCATGGGACAATGCTCTAACTACTGAGCCAACCTGGCCAGGTCATGCACAGCTACTTTTTTTGAGACAATCCTAGCCCAGCTTGTAAGTTCTCTCATAGTACAGCCCCATTACGATGGAACTAAAAGTTGGGCTCTTTAACTTTCAGTCAAATGCTCTACTTGCCTTTACATGCTTGGTATCTTTGTGCATATGAACTTTTTTATTTCAATATAGGGAATCCCTGCTTTCATTTATCTGCTAGAGAACTCACTTTTGTCTTTCCCATAAGTCCCATCATTTGAGAAAACTGATACTCATGAGCACTGACCTAGAATGGTCACCATTCACTCCTCAAGATACTTTAAATATTAACCTAGGTTAAGCCAGAAAGTTATACAACATCTACACTACACCACCACAGAAAGCTATTTTCATAAAAGTTGATCATCTTTCATCTGAAAGAGTTACATGAGTTAGTTTTTATAAAACTGTTATTCAAAAAAATTTAGCCCAATATCCTTCACTTAGGGAAGAAATTTTTCTAGAATTTCCAAGTCTTTAAGGAAGACAAGAAAAAAGGTTTACATTTGATTTGAAGAAAGAAGATAATTATAGTTGGCAGAGAAGTTAAAATAGGAAAGATAAATCAGAGATACAAATAATCAGTAGAAACTTTAGCCTTTAGAAGAAAATAAGGATTCATGAATTTTTATGATATAACTAAATAAATAGGAAACTTCTTTATAGTAGACTAACAATTAATAATGAATTAATGAAAAGAATGATGGAGTTAGAAAAATCATCATTTGAGCTTGTGAGCAGTCCTATCCATCTCTTTAATAATCTTTCCCCCTTTCATGAACCTCAACAGCCTCAAAAAGCCCATTGACCAATCTCAAGCCATCCTATATCCCAGAGGTTTCAAATTTTTTATCCATGTATTCATTAAAAGTTTGAGCATCTCCTATAAAATATGTGCATTTCCTAATTTTCATGTGATATATAGATATGTATCATTAAATTAACAGAGATCATAAAACAAACACAAAAAAACTAGAAATGAATTAAACATTTGAATAATTATTTTGTTTATTGTGTAGAAAAGCTTTGGAATATTAAGTTTATGTATTGGCAAGAGCTATGTGGCTAATATACTTTATTATTAAAAATAAATATTGGGTTAACCTTGTAAAACAGCATTGTGAAGACTTACATCTAGGTTTGTTGTATTTTGAGACTGGTTTGAATGGCTGTGATAGCTGTCATTGAGATCCTCATGGGAGAAGAGCCCTGTCTTGTCTGAATTCTGCATCTTGACACCACTTCCTCCATCCCAATCACACCTACATCAGGTTTCCACTGAAGTGAGACTATTAATGTTTCATGTTCTCTTGTTCATCAGTTGTTGTTACAAGCTAATTGGAAGGTTTTGCATTTTTATATTTTTAAATAAATGGGTACAAATACCATTAAAACTCCTTAGTTGAAATCATTTTAGATGGGCTAAAAAACGTAACTTTTGTATATATGAAAGTTTTTGAAGGTGATACATATTGTTTTGGCCAGAAAAATATAATAATAATGTCAACGTGTTTAAAGATCCCTTTTCAACATTTTCTCTTCTCAACAGGACTGTTTTTGGGGAAAAAGGATAAACTGTATTCTGTTTTTATAAAAGAAAAACTGCGTTTCACAATTCTTTTATTACAATGATACCAACAAATCTCCATGTAGTACAACACTCTCAAGGTTAATCCCTTCCTCTTTCATCACCCATTATTTTACGAAAAGCCCTGGTTCTATAAAATGAATCACAAAGGTGGTGTCCTACAATACTTGATCTGCAATATGTCATGACAGACTAAAGACCAAAGAACAAGTGAGGACACTCTCATTGTGAACTTCCCACCTCTCCCTTGCTTAATCCCTGGGAATAATAACCAATACATCACCCACATCAAAGGTAAGGGCTATATAAAACACTAGGAGTGATTAATTTCTTTCTTACATTTTTAATTGAAAATAAATAGGAAGCTCTAATATTGTCTTTCTACACACTGTATGGATTATCTTTCATCTTTAATCCTCAACCCTCCAAACCACCCACTTTCTTGCCATCCCCAGGGGCAGCCTCTCCTGGGAACCCCAAGCTCCAAAACTGCTTCTCATTCAATCCTCTCCCTACCTCCACCCCACAAGAACTGCTCCACACTAGTAGTAGTGCCAGGTGCTGACAAAGCAGTCTCATTGAAATTCAGCAAACCCTCAGGATTTTTGGATTTGTGGCTTCATTTTGAATACTCACATGGCAAGCTGTGCCTTCCTGCCTAAGTACCGATTCCTATACTCCCAGACAAGTTTAACTTGAGCACATGCTATACTTCAATGAGACTGCCTATATTTTTTGTATTCTACCCCTTTAACTGGCTCCCTAACTTTCCACATTCTCATATCTGCTGCAAATATTTCTGTTAAAAATTCCTAATAGATGGGATTTCTTTCATGTGGCTCCTCAGAGGGAGGCCTCCTTGACTTGCAAAACTGCATAGAATCGAGTTCCCAGGGCAACCCTCTTTTCTTTCTTTTCCTTCATTTCTCTGGGGGCCAAGTAGCCCAGCTTCTGCTGCCTGGCTCTATCTTGAGCCCACAACACATGAATCCAATTTTGTAAACCATTGTATAATACTCTGTTCACAAACCAGGACAACGCCTTTCCCACTCACTCTGTTATCTATTAATATCTCTTTGCTTAAGGGAAATTGTTTTGCGCAGTTAACTTTTAACTAGAAACTAGCATATTAAAAACGTCGCCTACTTTTCTTAAAAGAACTTAGGTTAAGGGTATGTTGCCTTTTAAAAAAAACAATTCTTGGGATGTCTAAGAAGTAAAATTGCAGGGAATTCAGTAATCTATCCTATAAGGCAGGCCACATCAAATCAATCAAACATAAATGAGAAAATAAGTAATTAAAATGTTAATATTATTTAACAAGCTGAAAGTGTTAAAGGGTGTAAGCCTTTCACTTAGGATATTTCCACCTCCTAAATTTCCCTCTGCCTGCATGCTCTTGCCTGGACAGCCTCCCTACCCCCTCACTCACTCACTTCTTCCTTGTCTCTATTCTTTAAAATAGCCTCCAGACTCTTCCTCCTCCACCATTCTTTATCTCCGTATCCTCTTCCTCAGGGTACTGATCACTCCCAAGCAGCTTGTGTGTTTTCTGTCTGCCCTGCCTAGGTGTGGCTCACGGGAGCAGGACTTTGTTTTGTTCACTGCTGTGTCCCCCCCTAAGAGCACTGGCTTGGCACATAGGTCCTTAGAAAATGTTGTTGATTGAGTAACTGAATGTCTAGCAAGGAGAAGGCATAGGAGAGCGGTAGGAGAAATACAGGCTTTCTTTTCCATGATAGTAAAAAGCCTACATGGAAGTTTAGCTCGGGGAGGGGAGAAGAGCCAGGAGTGTCAGTGGCTTCCTGGACCCGTCTCCAGGTAGGAAGAAGCAAGCTGAGGGGAAACTGGCCAAACAAAATACAGTGTGCCTGTGAACGTTCTGAAATTACACTCAGGAGGACTACATGCCTGGGCCTCTCTCCCAGATTGAGGGGAGAGGAGGTGAGGAAAGAGAAGATGGGTTGGCTACGATTTTCTAGGGGCCTCCACCCAACCGCGTGGTCAGACTCTGTGGCCACTAGATTCTGGGGCCAACTTAGTTGAAATCTGGGCTGCACTCTCCTCCACACTCAACTAGAGGCAGGCAGCCATTTCCGGGCTCAGCCTCCAGCCCACACCAGGACCGGATGAGCAGATCTGGGTGGAAACGCTAAAAGCAGGGTTTTCTCTTGTCTCAACAGGAGAAAGTGAATGACAGAAAGGAAAGCTAATGACTGACAGTTGAGCTAAGACTCCCTAACTTTTCTTTCAAAAGAAATCTGTACTGACAGTCATAAAAACTGTCCCATCCTTAGCTGACTTCGGAAATAACTGGTTTGACAGCATAAAAGCAGTGTCAATCACCTCATTTACCTGAGCAGCTTTCCATTTTAGCCCAGTTATTGTATAGCCCTGGAACAATTATGCTTATACCATCAAATATGTGAGACTGACTTGGCTGAATGCGTTATTTGACACAAAAGCTGTTCTCAGTCCTCCTAGTTCAGTCTTCATGTAGTCAAACTGTTCTCTCACAACACAAAATTAAAATAATAAATAAATCAACGAAAAGGACCACTACGGCCAGGTGAGGTCTCCGCCGTATTCAGGAACACCCAGCTGCTGTTCTTTGATGTAAAAGATACCATTTACTAAACACTTTACATTTGTTGAGTAACTTCACACATTAACTCAGTCTTCATCACAATCCTATTAGTAATCCTATTTTACACATCCAGGTGCCTTACTCACCCCAGGAAATGGAAACTTAAGTGATTTGCCATAAGTCACTTGGGTAGAAAATGGCAGAGCTAGGATATGAATCCAGAAGCAGTATGTTCCAGATAAAGACAGCCTCAATGTTGACCACCACCTGGAAGTGTGCCAACCCAAATGGAACGCTGTTGAAAGGGAACGCACTCTAAAGAGGCAGCAGTGGGGGTGTGTTGTGAATGGGAAGGAGACCGATTGCCCTAGTGCACAACTCAGTGAACATGACAGCTAACAGGTGCTTTCCTTACTGCGTGCCAGGTAGATCCAGCAGTGAGCTCCGATTTCTCCAGGAGGACCACGTCCTTCATCCCTGCTTTGGCCAGGTGATAAGCCAGACTCACACCAACACAGCCACCTCCAATGATCACTGTCTCTGCTCTGTCTTTCCATCTTGTTTCTGCAGGTAAGGGTGGGTTGTCCTTTCTGGAAGACAATTTAAAAAAAAGAAGAAGTTAGATCTACTAACTACTAAGCTAAAGTAGCTACAGTTGTGGTTTTTGTTGTTGTTTTCGCATCTAAAATGTAACCTAGGCCCTAGCTGGTTTGTCTCAGTACACAGAGCATCAATCACCCTTTAGACTGAAAGGTCCCAGGTTCAATCCGGGTCAAGGGCACATGCCTGGTTTGTAGGCTCGATCCCTAATAGGGGACGTGCAGGAGGCAGTCAATCAATGATTCTCTCTCATCATAGATGTTTCTCTCCCTCTCTCCCTCTCCCTTCCTCTCTGAGGAAAAAAATACATATATATATTTAAAAATTCAACTTAAGCAACCTGATTGTGGGAGGGAGGAAGAGGCATTTGAGCCCCATTCCATATAATTCTGGTTCATTGTAGATATTTAATATAGCTAAAGCAGTGGTCGATAAACTGCTGCGGCTTGAGAGCCACATGCGGCTCTTTGGCCCCGTGAGTGTGGCTCTTCCACAAAATACCACGTGCGGGTGCGCATGCACAGTGTGACTGAAACTTCGTGGCCCATGCACAGAAGTCGGTTTTTGGTTCTCAAAAGAAATTTCAATCGTTGTACTGTTGATATTTGGCTCTGTTGACTAAGGAGTTTGCCGAACACTGAGCTAAAGAATTGAACAGGTGAATTATTATTTTTTTCCCCCAGAGGGCCTAGAGAATAACTTTTCTCATTCTATTTCAAGGACATACTCACAATCATTTTATCCCATGAAAAACCATGATCATCGTGAAGTTTAGTACCCATAATTCTTGGGTCACCTCCCTCCACTGTGTTCCAGGTTGAACACATCCAAATGGAGTAAAACTTTCTTCCTCATTTAACTTTTTCTCGCCGTGTATACGCTTCTCTATTGACACCACTGCTCAGTGGCTTAACATTTATTTGCATGAGCCTCTCCAAGGCATATTGTAAAAAGCACTGTGTAAGGGAGCCACAGAAGAACATATACACACACCTGTATTTGCAGACACACAGATCCTCTCTGGGCAGATACCAAAGGCACTGTTAATAGGTGACCGGGAAAGGGGTTTGGAGTTGAAGAGACTTTGCTCTGGGGACCCTTCGATTCTGTAGCACTTTGTACAGTTGTGCACGGAAAAGAAAACAAAAATCGAGGAGAAATCCGAATGCCCATTATTCAGAAGCCAACGCACACCTAAGGCCAGAGTCCGCCTTAGCCCCTCGCTCCCGCCCTGCAGTCCGGGGGGTTCCCACTCACCCTTCGTGGCCGCCGACAGAGAGCGAGCGGCGCGGGGAGCCGGGCAGCCCCAAGCCCCGCAGCGGGAGGCCCCGCAGCCGCTGCACGCCCGGGCGGAGCATGGCGAAGCTGACAGCGCGGACACCCGCGGCTCCGAGGCGGAGGCTGGCGGGCCGCCGGGCCGCGTGAGATCCTCCCCCGGGCGAGGGGCGGGCTCCTGGGCCAGCGCGCTCCGGCCACCCGGCGCCCGCAAAGCCGCTGCGCCATGGCACCCACCGGAGTCAAGAAGGTGAGTTTCCCAAAGTCCGCGAAGGCCCAGCCCCCAGGCTGCGGGGCTCCCAGGGTGCAAACCCCGCTGGAGCCCCTGCCGGCTCTGCGGCCACCGCAGGGACCTGGAGGGCTCCAGCCTCGGTTTACGGATCGCGAGGCGGGTGGCGGTATGCCTTGGGTGTGAGGACAAGGTAACAAACCTGGGTGCCATTTGTTGAGCCCTCCCTGACTCGGAGCGGCCCTGCGTGCTTTGAGCAAATTTTCCCTTCATCTTCACAACTGTCCCCCTTCCGCCTGGAGAAACTGGGGCCCGAGAGTCAGAGGGAGAACGCAGAGTGGAGCGGGGATCTGTGCCTTCAGACTCAGGGGCCACACTCCCATCCGCTCCCCGCACTGGCCGCACCCACTGCATTCCCTCTCCTGCCTCAGAGCTTCTTGCTCTTGGTTCCCTAAGGGCCGCAGTCTGGCTGTCCGGATGGCCGGTTGGCCTGAAACCAGTCCTGGCTCAGACCCTCAGTGGGGTGTGGAGGGAGGGTGCTTGGGGACCCCTGTGTCTTACCCAACTCGACCCGGCAGCCCAGCCCGAGTCTCCAGGCTCTTCCTCTCAGCCCCTTTCCAGGTCTGGTCGCCAGCTCTTGGCTTTGTTCACCCATTTCTACACCTGGTGTGTGAGTGGTGGGAAGAAGGTCTGACAAAATAAAATTAAGAAGGCCATGAACTTGGATGCGGGATATGCTCAGAACCTCTCAAAGCAGCCCACCTGAGCCCTGAAATTCATAAAAGACGGTAGGGAACAATGGGGTGATATTGGCAGGGGAAAGAAATGTGTGCCACTGACTGATTTACACTAAAAAGTTAGGAACAATCAGGACAGTGGGCTCCCTAAATCAATTGAGGCTCATCCACTTTACAAGTTGTTAGCCCATTAAGGAGCTAAGTATGAAAGCAGGCAAAGTGCTCTAACTATGTTAATTTACAAAGGGAGATGCATCACACTGATTGCAACTATACACACACACACACACACCCTGTAAGGAAGGACACAATAATGGTAGTAGTTACATAAGATGAGGAATATGGGTTTAAAAACTTAAAATCATTTTGGACATGTTTTTCTGATTATAAAAGTAAAATATGGGCATTGAAGAAAATGGGTGTAATAAAAACTTAGCAAAGAACATTGTGCTAATTTCTCTACACTTTCTCTAATACTGTGTTCACTTTTACAGTTCATTATTATTAAGGTTTTGAAAATATGCCATCTCTGTTCAATTTCTTCCTGGCATCTACTCTTGCAACACCAAGCTTATGACATACTAATCCATTTTAATGGGTACCTGGGAGTTAAAATTAAAATGTTAGTGGGAAGGAGTTAGCCCACTTCTCTTCTCAGCTAACAGGTGCGTCTTAAGAGTTTATTTAATTGCCACAGAGGGCACCTCCAATTGTATCTTTAATCCAAAGGAGCAGTCCTATTTAATCCTACAATGCAGTGGCCTTTTTCAGGCATAAGGGATGATATTTTAGGCAGACTAGGCCTCTGGCTGCCTCCTGCCACAGGGAGAAGGTGGTGGACTCCCTTGGGTATGAAGAGAGGTGCCCTGAAGCCAGATCCTAAATCCTGACGTGCACATACTGATATCTGCAGAAAGGGGGCGTAACTGTCTCATCATCAAGTCCCAGGTGGGATCACTCCAAAGTGAAAGGGAGGATGGAATGAAAATACAAATGTGCTGTAAGTTTACAGTGTTCTTTATTTTTCACAGTCCTGTCATTCACAAACTATCTTTAGATCATGCATGTATAGTAATTGGGGTGGTGAGTACAGCAGTGAAGGAGGGGCTAAAAGATGCTCTTAATTCAAATCTTAACAACTCATTTATTTTGCTAATGGTATTTTAGAAAATTGGCAAATTTAAAATATTGGACAAACACCTAGACAACAGATGAAAATGTTTATTTGGTATTATGAAGACACTGTCAAAATATGTACTATAATTTTTTTTTAAAACCCTAGCAAATTTTCTGTTGAGTATTTTTTTTTTCTTCTTCTCAGGACCAAACTTGTAGCATATGTGACACATGTGACATTTTCAAAATGGTCCTGTCTGTCTGTGAACCCTGCATAGTTTTTCAAGGGCTTACTCTTTGTTAGGTGCTGTAGGAGGCAATAGGCCTAGAGACAAGGTACCTGAACCTCAAACATCTTACAGCCACACAGAGGAGGCAGGTAAGTAAGCAAATACTGCAGGGCAGGTAGTGGATGCAGGAAAGGAGGGTGTTTGACTTCCATAGGACACAAAGGAGAGGTTATTGCCAATCAGAGTGGGCCAGGCAAGACTTTGCTCTGGCAGCAATGGGAGATAGAAAAGGGGGCTGGAGGGAATTGGAGATCATTTCAATAATCCAGGCTCGGTGAGTGAGGGGCCATATATAAGACATGTTAAATAGATCCACTTGGTTTGGATATGGGCGGTGAGATACTAGCTAATAATACCTAAATTGTATACTAATATTTTTCCTTCTAAAAGTGTTTGATGTGTACTATTAAATTTGATTCTTAAGATAATTCATTGAAGTATGTTAGATTTTCAAGATGGTATTTATACAGATGTCTTATACCTCTAATTCTCTCTTCTGTACCCCTCTGTGGCATTTATCTATTACATTGTCTCGAGATAATTTGCTGACACACTGGCCTTCTCCAGAGAAGCCAGACTTTGAGCTTCTTGAAGGCACAAACCTTGAGTTATTCCAATGCTTATCCCACTTGCCTAGAACTGCACCTAGCATGTGGGAAGATCTCACTGAAAGTTAAAGCTTCAGTCTGTTTTTATGTTTCAAAGTGCGAAACAAAAAGAACAAACTGTATTTTATGGAGGGAGTAGAGAGATAGCTGAGAATCCAGGTCAATGTTAACATGTCTTGCCCATTCAGCTAAAATTCATCTTTAGATATGAAATATGGAAGGCTAACCAGAATTAAGGACTCGCTCTCTGTCAAACAGCACTTATGGTTAACACAGCAGGGCTCCATTCTGCTTCTCTCCATAGGAAAATGGAGATGGTGTTGATATGGTAGCCTGGTACATCGCCTTTGGTGTACCCTTCTGGAAGGCAGATATGACTGATTAGATGGGGAACTGGAAGCTTTTCTCCCCCATTTATGCATTGTTGTGTGTCCAGCTATAGGCAGAGTTGACACAAATTGGCCTTGTATTTTAACTAAAATGGTGTATCGTCAATTAATGCAGTCTATACACAAGGGATAGGGATCACCATGGGGTGTTTGCAGTTGTCACCAGGTGTTTAGGGAAGACCTCTCTGAAAAGATGACATGTGAACAAAGACCTGAAGGAGGTGAGAGGGGGAGCCATGCAGGGATCTGAGGGAGGCAAAATTTAGATCTTGGAAACCGTAACCCTTAGATAACTGCTATGCATACAGACTTTAATTTACGAGTGGGCTAATGAGAAAGGTGGTAAAATAAGAAAAGAAACTGTTAGGAATTTAGAAGATCTGCAGTAGGCTTTGTTACTTACTTAGCTCTGTGATCTTGGGCAACTCACATAGACTCTATGAACCTCAGTTTCCTCATCTGCAAAACGCCCTGCCTCGCTCACAGAACTGTTGGGAGTACCAAATGATAGCATGTATACAAACATGCTGGAAAATGTAGGGCATGACTATCAAATGTTGAGTGTATTATGTTCAGTGGTTTACTCACAAAAAAATGAGGTTTTCTCACCTAACAAGGGGACTAGCAATCCATGGCTCCTGCAGCGACTCAGAGATGTCACTAAGACACCAGGCTGCTGTTACCCGCTGTTCCACCAGCCTTAGCATCCGGATTTCAGTGGCAATGGCAGGATGACTGCTATATTTCCAGGGCTTATGGTGACATTCCAGTCAGGAAGGAAAAAGTGTCAGGATGGAAGGGAGTGGACATCTGTGGCAGGAAAGCAATACTTTTCCAGAAATCTTCAGTGGACTTCCACCCATGTCTCTCTTGTCAGCACTTGTCAAATGGCCACCCCAGCAGCAAGGGACCCCTAGGAAGTGTTTTAAACTTGGAAGCATTGTCTCCCCAAACAAAGTACATTAGCAAAGAAGAGGAGAGAAAATGCAAATTAGTTAAGCAACTAGCAATGTCTGCCACAAACATATTGACAACCAAAATAACTATTATGAAATCATCATTTTCACTATGATTTGACTCAGATTAAATGTTAGGAGAAACAACAGTAACAGCATTCTGCACTAAACAAGTACCTGGATTGTGCAAGAAACAACAGTGTATCCAATCTTTCTGAAATATTATTAAACACTGAGAACAACATACTATCTTTCTGAAAATTAGAAACTGCTTTTGGGGGGAAAAGAGGGGCCTTAGATGATTTTTCTTTTTCTCCTTCAGGGTATTTTGGAACGGCTAGATAGTGGGGAGGTTGTGGTTGGAGATGGCAGTTTCCTCATAACTCTGGAGAAGAGGGGCTACGTGAAGGCTGGGCTCTGGACGCCAGAAGTCGTGGTAGAACATCCAGACGCAGGTCAGTGCCAGCGTCCCTGGGAGTGCTTATCTGGGGGACATTTTGAGTACATCTGACTGAGAGAAGATAAAAAAAATAATAGCATGCATTTTCTAAGGACTGTTTCACTTGTCAAAATAGCCAACATGTGGAGACAGGGACAGTACATGGTCTGAACAAATACGAGTAGAATAAAGTTCTCATTCTCTCTCTCTCTCTCTCTCTCTCTCTCTCTCCTCTTCCTCTTTCTTCTACCACCACCATGCACACACATTTATATCTTTATATATAGGGACTACTAAAATGCACATCCTACTATGTGTCTCATAAATATTTACCTTGTGGATATTTAAGAATTACCTTAATATAGTAAAACTGTTATTGCTTCATATTCATCCTTCTAGTTAATTTGCATATTATATTATAACAGTGTGTTTGGTAAGGATGATTAAGAGTATCTACCAGCTTAACAGAGCATAGATAATAGACTACTTTGAGGACTGTAAGCAGACCAGTTAGATTCTTCATGACACTGGAAACTGAATAAGCCCTCTCTAGACCAAGAGATCAAGAACAATTGGCCAACTAAGCTTCAATCTCTGCATGAGTCTTCACCACACTGTGAGGCCCAGCAGCAGGATAATATGAGGCTACTCTAAACAGTCCTGATTTGGTATGGTCTTTGCTATGTCTGTCCTTGAATTTTACTGACCTTAATCTGCAATTCTTTTTATAAGTACTAGATTTGAAATTGTGTATGATTGGAAGAGAAGTGGGTGAGCTGCCACTGCTGAAAATGATAGCTTATGTGATTTTTAACGTTTTAATTTCAATTTAAAAACTACTCTGTAGTTCGTCAGCTTCACATGGAATTCTTGAGAGCAGGAGCAAATGTCATGCAGACTTTCACCTTTTCTGCCAGTGAAGAAAAGTTGGAAAGCAAGGTAAATAATAGTGCCTTTGGTTGGGGGACAGAGTGGGGGGAGAGGGGGAGTTGGGCAGGGACCCTGTATAATAAAAAATAACCTCTCGATGGGAAGCTGTGGAATCAACCTGATGTGTTACTACAAATATAAAATATCTGTTAAGTAATTAACTAGTTTGTAGGTGCATATATAGTGAATAAATGAGCTTTTTCTTTCTCTTTATCTAGGGGAAGGGGAGGCATAGGACTGGGAAACAACAGGCCATTGGAAGGACATAGCCATTTTTCTGTGCTATTTTTTTTAATATATATAAAGAAAGGACATTTTATAGATGCTCTTTTTACCTCCTTATTTCACATTCTTCTTTTCTGACTTGTCCACCTGGAGACAGAGTGGTCCTAGGGCTCACAGCCGTGGCCTTGGAATGAGAAGAATTGAATACCCAACTTTGCCACCTGTTGGCTGTGTGACTTTGTGTAAGACACTTAACTACATGAAGTATTGGTTTTCTCTGAAAAAAAAAAAATGGAGATAACTTATGCTAAACTGCCTAGGACTGTTGAGAAAGGTGAAGATGGTGAAGAATGTGGAAGTATTGTGAGATGTTCTGCAAATGTAAAGTGTTAATACTTACAAATGTTAATGCCCAACCAACCAACACTTATTGAGTGCCTGTTATAGTGCCATCCCTATGCCAGATACAAAGATATACAAAGACATAGAGCCTTTCCTGAAGTGGCTCACAGTCAAGTGTGGGAGGCCAATAAATATGCTAAAATCCAATGTGGTACTGGTGAGCACAATAATGGAATTAAACATCGCTGGTAAATAGAGGAGATTGTACCCGACTCTGCTGATCTTCTTGAATTAAAATCAGCAACTCCTCATCTTACTTGCTCATTTCCCCCTTTGTCATAGATTGTATTACATCTCTAAAATACCAGGCTCACCATCTTACTTCTTGCTCTCTACCCTCAGTGGGAAGATGTAAATGCTGCTGCCTGTGACCTCGCCCGAGAAGTGGCTGACAAAGGTGATGCTGTGGTGGCAGGGGGTATCTGCCAGACAGCAATATATAAACATGACAGGGATGAAGCAAGAGTTAAAAGACTTTTTCGGCTACAGCTAGAAGTTTTCGCCAAGAAAAATGTGGACTTCTTGATTGCAGAGGTAAGTCCAGGGTTATAGGGAGAGTGTTAAACTTATTGATAAGTATAATTAAACAGTCTTCAACTTTCATATGAGTATTGGATTGCCGTATGCCCTCATTTCCTCCGATGGTCAAAGGTTTATTTAAATGCACCACAGTCAACATCCTCTCACTCAGATGTTCTGTTCTCTGTGAAGCCAAAGGGCCGACCCAGGAGAGGCCTAGCTTTTGCTTTTCTAGGTCAGAGGAGTTGCGGCAGCTGACTCTCAGGAGACACTATAACATGGGGTTCAGAGAAAGGGGACAGTGATCCTGAGCCTGAAGGAGGCTCAGGCTACAGAAGGGATTAAAGCCCTGGGGGTAGGTGGATGCTCAGGCTCCTCCAGATCCCACCAATAATCCTCACTATCAGTAGGTCCCTTGCTCTCCTCCATCCTTGCTCCCGCTTGCCTCTCTGTTTCCACTCAAATTATAACATGCGAGCAATATTTTAAAGACAGAAACAGTAAGAACTGGTTATTGACTGAACATTCCCTTCCTGCCTCTTCCAAAAATTAAAAAGCCTCATCATAATTTATCATTACAATTGCTAGAGTCAAGTCCTCAATCCAAGCTTTCACCTCCACAAGGACAATAGCCTCCCAAATTCGATTTCCCCAATCCCTCTATTGAACTATTAAAAACCCTGCTTCCTCAGCCTTGTGAAGGCTCAGGGCCACCTATAGCAGAGGACAGACACACCCATATCTTTTGACTCTCTCATTCTCACACACTGCTTCTGCAGAATCTGTTTCTAAGTCGAGAAGGAAGAAGCAGGGAGATTTCTGCTAGCTTTTCTTCACCTAAGTTCAGCTTTTTGACTGTGGCACTTAAGGGAGTTCCTGAGAGGCACCCATGCAAATGTCATATATTTATCAAACAGGGTGTCCTGTCTACCATTCACAAAGAAACTCAGTAGTTATCCCTTTCCACTCAGTGCCTCAGTGTTCTCATCTGGGGAAATAATCATATTTCCAAGCCTCCTTTATGAAACATTTATGATTATCTAACTAGAAGGGAATATAAAAGCACTCTGAAGCAGTAACAAACTATTCATTATTACCCCTGTTCCATAAAAAATGAGTTCAACATTTATTATCTTTTGCTCCTTCAAAATTATGGTTTTATAAAATACTCAATTAGTTAAAAAAAAAAAAAACCTTTGTGTTTTTTAGATGACATATGAGTGGAGATCTATATACAGAGTGTGGCAAAAGTAAGTTTATAGTTGTGAGTAGGTGAGACAGAGTTTATTATTATTATTTATTAAGTATTGCATTATTTTCTATACAAACAACTGTAAAACTATTTTTGCTCCACCCTGTATTGTTAAAGGAATTAAAATACTTATTCAGAAGGGTATTCGTTAGTCAGTCTGAGAGACACATTCCTTAGCAAGTTTTATTACATATTATATACTTGGGTGTTTTTGTAACAACGGTTTTGCAACATTTACATTTTATCACTCAAAATCTGCTTCATTTTTGGAAATTTCTCTTAGTATTTTGAGATTGCGGAGGAAGCTGTGTGGGCTGTGGAAGTCTTAAAGGAATCCGGTAAACCTGTGGCAGCTACCATGTGCATAGGCCCAGAGGGAGACAAGAATGACGTGACACCTGGAGAATGTGCTGTGAAGCTGGTGAAAGCAGGTAATTTGGACTCATAGTGTGATAAGCTGTTCAGTTGTTGTTTATGAAATTTAGCAAAGTTAGCTTAACGTTGTCAGGGCAGTTCAGAACTAAAAAAATGAACTGGAATTTTTTTCCTCATCTGTAAAAGTTGGGAGGTAGATAGGGATAGTGACCTCTAACTGTCAGAAAATAAAAAAGTAAAAGTAAAATGTGCCTGGCCAGTGTAGCTCAGTGGTTGAGCATCGACCTATGCTTCAGGAGGTCACTGTTAGTTTCCCATCAGGGCACATGCCCAGGTTGGGTCTCAATCCCCAGCTGGGGACATGCAGGAGGCAACCGATCAATGTTTCTCTCTCATCATTGATGTTTCTATCTCTTTCTCCCTCTTCCTTTCTCTCTAAAATCAGTAAAAAAAAATATTTTAAAAATATATATATAAATGTCTTTTATGTCTTTGCATAGGGGCTTCAATCGTTGGTGTGAACTGCCGATTTGGGCCCGGGGTTAGCTTGAAAACAATGAAGCTCATGAAGGAAGGCCTCCACGCTGCAGGGTTGAAAGCACATCTGATGGTGCAGTCTCTGGGGTTCCACACACCTGACTGTGGCAAAGGAGGGTTTGTGGATCTCCCAGAATATCCCTTTGGTAAGCTCAAGGCGCGTATTAGAGGTCCCTGAGATTTCTCATTGTGACAAAATGGAAACAGCTATCATGATAACTATGGTTCAGTCTTACATACAGTTCAAGACTGCCTAAGCCAAAAACATTCATTGTTAACCAAAAATGAGCTATCTGAAGAATGTATAATCTAAAATTTACAGTTTTTTAATTAAAAACAACAACAACACTCATCAGAGCATCTATCATCTGAAAATGGAGATGGTAACAGAAATGCCGTAACTATTATATTATAGGACTGGAGCCCAGAACTGCAACCAGGTGGGACATTCAAAAATACGCCAGAGAGGCCTACAACCTGGGGGTCAGGTACATCGGTGGGTGCTGTGGATTTGAGCCCTACCACATCAGGGCGATTGCAGAGGAGCTGGCCCCAGAAAGGGGCTTTTTGCCACCAGCTTCAGAAAAACATGGCAGCAACTGGGGAAGTGGCCTCAATATGCATACCAAGCCCTGGATTAGAGCCAGGTAGGAATTTTTACATTAATAACACTGTTTTCCTCAAATCTTATTTTATTTGTTATTGCAAATATTATGCATGTCTATGATAATGAAAATTCAGGAAGTGAATTGTATAAAATGGAACGTAAAAGTTGCTTCCCTCCTGACATCAGTCCAGTCCATCTGTTTGCCATTTGTGTTTTGAAGTCTTGTGCCTCCACTTCTTGTTTTATCAACTTTAAGTGGAAATTACCCTTTGTGAAAGCTGAGGAATTTAAATCACATGATCTTTCCTTTTTCTGTGTACTCCTTTTCCTAATTTGACTTATTACATTTTTATTTTTTCTGTTGGTTGTCTTTATAAGTTTGAATTTCATATTTAACCACTTATTTCTTCATCATTCAATATGAGGCAGTATCTGTTGATTCTACTCCTGGTACCCTCTACTTTTTCTCCCTCATCTACTTCTTGGCTTCTTTAAGTTATGCCATTACTTTTATATTATCAAGATTCATAACCATTGTATTCTGCTCTGTAATTATAGTTAAGTCCTCCAAGACTTGTCTGTAAATTTATTCTAAAAATGCAAAGCTAGTAAATAACATTTACAACATTACTGTAATTGTCATATTAAACAAGCAGGACTCATAAAATACAAATCAGAACACAGCTTTATTTTTGCCTTCCTCTGTCTCTTTAAATCTGTTCAGAGGATGACTTCTTTCCTCTCTCTCTTTGAAAATACTGACATGCCCCAGGGCTTCTTTGGGTAGTTCGCCTGAGGCAATAGAAAGCCCCACAGATCTCTTAATTTAACCAACATAATTCAATAATTAAACATTCAGTTCCATGTGAAATCAAAAGTTGGGACATGTTTCAAACTTTAAAAAAATGTCCCCCTTTTTGTAGAAGACAATTCTTCTCTTTCTCAGTCTTTTGCTTCCAACCCTCCCCTTTCCTAACTTACTAACCATGGTTTCTGACCTCAGATTCAAAGTGAGAGAAGAAACAATAGAAAGAGGGGTAAATTGGTATCACTTGACTGGCCTCGACAGAAGACCACACTCTCTGGGCCTGGCAGACCTTCCTGGGCACAGTCCTGGTTCTTCAGAGGCTTCTGCTGGGAACCTTTGTCTGTAATTCTCATGCCAGAGGCATTGAATTTCTCTCTGCTGCTTCCTCTTCAGGTCCTGGCTTTTTCAGCAGGTCACTCCAGATATGTCCTATTGGGGAGGGGAGGGGCAAAAGGGGGGGGGCAGTGAGTCCCATTGTCCTTCCTGGTGAGTCTCATGGGCCCGGTTTAAAATACTTCCAGGCTGGCTCACTCTGTCTCTTATTAGACTCAAGACTGGTTAGAGGCCCTTACACCTTTTCTTTATGCAGACAAACTGAGAGGGTGGTCTGATCCAATTTAACGGCACCCTCTTTGCTCATAAGCAAAGTAGCTGGCCCATTGGTCTCTGTGATCCAGACTGGTCAATGTAGTCAGGTGAGTCATCTGACTGGCCCTTAGCCACCTGCTTTGAAACTTCTGCAGAGCATCTGTCTTGTTTCAACATCCGATATCTCTCTTTTCTTGATGCCTCCAATAAAGTTTCCAACTGATTATCCTGGTCCATGATTTTCTAAACATTACTGCAGAACCAAGTGGTAAGCACTAACTATGGAGAAAGAGTTATAATCTTATTTTACAAAACTTGAACCACTTGTAGGAGAGTTCTAAGCATCAAGGCCAAATTGAGTTTCTTCTCTTACATTTTATCCATAGTCCAAATCCATATCATATTTTCATTTACTTCATACTTGAGCTGTGACTCTTAGAGTACAACATTTGGTTTTTTATGAATTTCTAATTAACTTCTTTTTCATTGTTGAAAGAAGAATAATAGGTCTTTGCCTTCTCTAAAATATTTTCTTATTTCTAAATTATACTATTTGTTACAATCAATCTACTTCATCATTGATGACATTGTGGGGGGGGGGGGAAGAAGGGAAGGAAATTACTGTTCTGTTTTCATCTTTGATTCTCTCTGTCTCTCTCTTCAATAGAATGTCATCTTCCAAAAACTAGTCACAATATGTCTCCTTTTCCATCTTCCAAAAACTAGTCACAATATGTCTCCTCTTTTCTATTCTGTGCTAGTATATATTTAATCCATTTTATACTTCTTTATCCATTTCACTGGGATTTAGAATACTCTTCATTTTTGAACTGGAATGATTTTCCTAAAGTAAATTTATTTAGATTGTAAAAGTAGACAAGAAATCATTTATCCAAATATTGTTTTGGGGAGATATGGATATTTATTAGAGAAAATGGTTTTTATAGATATCATACTTAGGAAAAAAGTACTCAATCTGTATATATAAAAGCCTGAGCAACCGAACGACCAGTCTACCAGTCACTATGATGTGCACTGACCACCAGGGGATGGACACTCAATGCACACAATCAGGCTCCCTCCTGTCTGGATCAGGCCTATGGGGATCGGGCAAAAACTGGCTCTCCAACATCCCCTGAGGGGACCCAGACTGTGAGAGGGTGCAGGCCAGGCCAAGGGACCCCACTGGTACACGAATGCATGCTCCGGGCGTCTAGTGTAAGTATAATTAAAAAAGGAGGAAAGCATACTTTGGTGATGATTAAAATCCTTCAAATAAGTAAGAAACATTTATTTTAATTATCATTGTCCAGGAGACCTTTCAGTCCATTAGCCACTAAAGAGAAAACATCATTCTCTAGAGTAAAACCACACACTCCTTGAACACTGAACTCCCAAACATGCTGTTTACAGACATTTGTGATTATACAGAAACCTGTATGCACCCAGATTTCTGACACTGTTATTATCCCAACATATTTATTTGTTCATTGTTTCGTAAGTAAAGGGGGAAAATAACTGTAAAAATATATTTAACACAAAGGTCTGTGACAAGAAACCTTTGTATTCTGCTTTCTAAAAGCAGGGAATAAATAATAACAGAGTTATTTGAATTCTGTTTTTAGTTACTTTTTGAAGAATATAGTTACATTAAAACCCATCTTCATAGCCCTAGCTGATTTGGATGAGTGGATAGAGAGTTGGCCTGTGAACTGAAGAGTCCCAGGTTTGATTCCAACCAAGGGCACATGCCTGGGTTGTTGGCTCAATCCCTAGTAGGAGTACACAGGAAGCAGCCAATCAATGATTCTCTCTCATCATTAATGTTTCTATCTCTCTCCCTCTCCCTCTTTGAAATCAATAAAAATATATTTTTTAAAAACCCATCTTCATAGAATTGTCATTGCATTAAAATATTGAGTAGAACCCTGATAGAACTTTCAGAATGAATATCCTATAGCCTAATATGTTAAGTGTCTGACCATCTGGTTATCTGTTCAACCAACCAAAGCATGATATGCTAATAATATGCTAAAGCTGCTCAACTGTTCACTATGGTGTGTGCTGACCACCAGGGGGCAGACGCTCTGACTGGTAGGTTAGCTTGCTGCTGGGGTCTGGCTGATCAGGACTGAGCTAAATGGGCCAGAAACACCTTGGAGCCTTCCTGTGGTCCCTCCCTGGCTGACCAACCTCCCGCATCCCACCCCGGACCTAATTATGCACCGGTGGGGTCCTTCGGCCTGGCCTCTGCCCTCTCCTCACCCAGGACCCCTTGGGGATGTTGGAGAGCCAGTTTCAGCCCGATCCCGCAGGCCAGGCCAAGGGACCTCACTGGTGCACGAATTCATGCACCAGGCCTCTAATAGGTCTATAAAACTCAAACAAATTGTCTTTTTCTGACAGGTGGTATAATGCCTTATGATTGCTAGTGAGAATAGAAATTTGAGAAAGACCCCTGGCATGAATGGATATGAACATAGTTGTTCTGTCTTTATGTTGAAACTGAATTTCTAGCTTATTCTGATTATTCACCTAACTTATATGTGTTGGATATATATATGATATAAATCTCTAAATTAATTAACTATATATATTTTTAAAACACAGGGCTAGAAGGGAGTACTGGGAAAATCTGCTGCCAGCTTCTGGCAGACCTTTCTGTCCTTCGCTGTCAAAGCCAGACTTCTAAGTAGTGAAAACCCTGGAATAATAGAACAGAAAGAAATCCCCCTCAAACCTCATCTGGACTCCTCCTCATCTTTGCCAGCAGCCCACTGTGATGTTCCCAGCAACTGAACAGCTCATTTGAGGCAGCCCCTTCAGAGAAATCCTACATGCAAGTATCCCACTCCTGATGGATGCCACAGGGGATACAATGGTGATGAGAAGGGCTCCTTGTTCTCAGTATTTACTGTCCAGGAATTCTGCAGTACATGTTTTGAAGGTTATGAAGAATAAAAATAAAAAATAAATAAATAAAAAAACAACTTAGAAGCTTAAGAGCAGCTAATTGAATAGCAATTGATATCACAATATTGAAAACCAGACAGACTTGAATTTAAGTACCAGGTCTGCCCCTGTTTGCTGTAATGATAGTGCTCAGCACATATGGTTGTCATGTTTATTAAAGTGATAAAAGGTGCCATCAACAGAATGTGCTAATAGACATTTGTTACAATAGTCTGTTCTACTGCATGAGTTTATTCCAATCATGTATAATAGTTCTGACCTAGGAGTTTCAACTTGTAATGTATAAATAAAAAATAATTTTATTAAAAAAAAAAAAGAATAGCAAAACTTGTCTTTGGGATGAATTAGAGATTAAAAAAAAACAACCAGAACTCACTGAGCACAAACCTAGTGATTAATTCAGGTGACTAAGCTAGGTGCTTGAGGAAGATGGAGTGGCATTCCGAACTAACACACCGAGTCTGCTTTTCTTAAATGATTTGTATAATGATTCCAAAGGCAATACTGAAGGAAAAGAAGCAAAAACCATTTTGAGCAATGGAAGGATTGCTGAAATAATTATATAACCTTAAGATGATTTTACTTACAGGAGATAGAGTCTAAAGTTTTTTTAATGTCTTTATAATAAATAGCTAGATTATAAAATATTTAGGAACAAGAATCATGTGATATATTTCTCATATTTTTCCTTACAATATATTAGCATTGTGCTAGGCATAAAAATAGATGCTCAAATAAATACTGTTTAAAATAAGTAAAAACAAACAGTTTCAGAAGACTTTTAAAAAGTCAGTTCAAATCTATCTTGGTCTAATATTTTCTTGACTTATCTTTGTGTTATTTTCTATGTACTGATTTCTCTTTGTTTTTCAAAATAATGTGTCAACTTTAATAATTAATAAAAGTAAAAATAATATAACTCATAGTGTTTAAAATTTTATGACTCTTTCCTTGAAAATAATAACAAATATTTATTACTTATAATCTAGACTCTTGCTTTTCTTTCTCAGTGTGAGATTGAATGCTCACACTTGTCCAGTAAATAAAGTTAACAGCTTGTCTAGTAGATAAAGATCATGTCAAAGGGCAAGAGGTATCCAGTGAAGGAAAATCTTTAAGAGAAAGATTTCCTACATTGAAAGACCCCACAATTATCTTCAGATAATAATAAAAACATATCGGGGGAAAGTATTTCAAATCATGCAATTCTAACTCCAACTTTTAAAAATGCGTACTAAAACATTAAATTTTTATTTATAATTACTTTAAGCAAATTAGTATATTAAAATGAGGGTTATTTTTAAAGGCAAGATTTCTGCAACTTTGATTCAGTAGGAAGAAATGAAGAAAAAGGTAATAGTTTATAAAAATTTAAGACTGACCAGGGAAACTAAGAACTGGCTTGAACTAGTTCTTTCCAGTTCCACAGCAAATGTTTACCGTACCATGGACTTATCAAGAGTAAATGTCCCTCTGATAAACCCTGCTGTGCCGTGTGTAGAATCAGCAATACAGACCAGCAAATAACTGGCACAGAGACCACATAAGGGATCCAAGAGGTGTGCTGAAACTAAGGAGCGAAGTTCAGCTGGAAAAACAATTCCTGCTTTGCCGTGGTCACAGCTGTGATCTGATACTTTATGCAAAATCATAGGCAACGTGAAGCAATCCATTTTGGCTATACAGTCAGCTGCCCTGAAGACAAGCACATATTTTATTTAATTAATTATGAAAAAGCTGAAAAGAGCCTCAGAAGGGTGTGATTTTGCCCATCAGAGCCATTTTAGTGAAGCTTGAGCCAAGAGGATTGGATATGCTGACTGCAGCATTGCTGGCTCTCCCACAATCATGTTTCATCTCATTCAAAATAGTGAAATTGGAGAAGCATCCCTCCTTTGATGATGACTATATGCCTTGCAGGTTCTGTACTCTCATACCAATTATATTCCCACATTCATTCATTTATTCACTCAATCGCTCACTCATCCATTCATTATTTAAATAACATTTACTTAGTGATTGGCCTGCTAGTCATTATACTTATCCTATGAACTCCCATAGTACCCTAGGTGTATCATGAATAAATACTATGTAGTTTTGTTTTTGTTTGTTTTAATACATTTTTATTGATTTCAGAGAGGAAGGGAGAGGGAGAGAGACAGAGAAACATCAATGATGAGAGAGAATCATTGATGGGCAGGCTGCCTTCTGAATGCCCACACTAGGGATCAAGCTGCAACCTGAGCATGTGCCCTGACTGGGAATGGAACCGTGACCTCCTAGTTTATAGGTCAACACTCAACCACTGAGCCATGGTGGCTGGACAAATACCATGTAGTTTTAATACTTCCTTGGTCATTCCTATTTACTTACCTGCCCCTAAGTTGAGGAGGGAGAGAGAATATCTTATTAATTGTTGTATTCTCAGTACCTGGCAGAATGTAGAACTCAACAAAGGTGTGTTTGTAGAGGATGTAGAGAAAAGGAAACACTCATACACTGTTGATGGGCAGCCACTATGGAGAGTCCTCAAATAAGAATAAAACTACCATATGATCTAACTATATACACTTCTGGATATTTATCAAAAGAATATGAAAACACCAATTCAAAAAAACCTGCACCCCTTAGTTCATTGCAACATCTCTATTAATAAAAATGTAATATGCTAATTAGACGGATGTCCTTCCTGATGAAGCTGGGGCTGTGAGAAAGCCCAAGTCCCGGGTACCAGAGAGAAGCCAGTGCCAGCAGCCAGGGAAAGGAAGGCCTACCCTTGCACGAATTTCGTGCATCAGGCCTCTAATTATTTATAATAGACAAGATATGGAAACAACGAAGTGTCCATCAACAGATAAATGGATTTAGAAATTGTGGCATCCTATATAATAAGAGAGGAATGTGCTAATTATCCGGTACACTGTAAGTCATAATGACTGACCGAGTAATGACCAGATCATGGATCTGCAGGAGGGTGGGGCAGCGAACTACAAGCGGTGGCGGAGAGCTACAGGAGGGGGCAGGGCAGCAAGCCATGGGGAGGGGAGGAGACAGGGGATCTAAGGAGGGCAGCAATGACCTACTGGCACACAGATTTGTGCACGGGGCTACTTGTATACATATACTCACCTATAAAAAAAGGAATGAAATCTTGCTGATTGTGACAATATGAGTAGACCTTGAGGGTATAATGCTAAATGAATAATTCAGACAGAGAAAGACACCCATACCATATGATCTCATTCATATGTGGAATCTAAACAAATAAATAAAACATTTTAAAAATTAAACAAGATTTTAAAATGCATCATTGCCATTTAAAGTCTTAGAAAAAGTAAAGCCAACACAGCCATTTTAACTGTTCCTCTAAGAGGTTAGTGTGGGACATACTATTCCAAACCTCTTTCAGTAACAACAAAATTGGTAAAACATACTTTTCCAGCTAGGAGATTCAGAAAAATCAGTTCCCATGGGCTTTTCTCCGTGCTGAAGAAGCCTCACAAGTTGTATAATGAACAAATACACTGATTTTAGAAGCAATAGATACCTCCCTACACTCCCTTTGGAAAGTAGTTCTTTTTCTTACCTACTTGCTCATTCATTCATTCATTCATTGACTCTATTCAACAAATATTTATTAAGACTTTTGGGGGCCAGGCACTGTGGGAGAGATCATCACAGGAGATGCAATCTGAGAAGTAAGCAAAGTCAAATCATGTGAGAATTTATGTCTTAACAAGGATTTTGGTTTCACTCTGAGTAACAGGAGAGGACAATGCAGGGCTTTGAACAGGGAAGGGACAAGAGCAATCTGTTATTGTGTTAAGAGTAAATCACACAAATCAACAAACGACAAGTGTTGGCGAGGCTGTGGAGAAAAAGTGTTGTGCACTGCTGCTGGGAATGTAGACTGGTGCAACCACTGTGGAGAACAGTATGGAGCTTCCTCAAAAAACTGAAAATGGAACTCCCATTTGACCCAGTAATCCCACTCCTAGGAATATATCCCAAGAAACTAGAAACACCAATCAGAAAGGATATATGCACCCCTATGTTCATAGCAGCACAATTTACAATAGCTAGGATTTGGAAAGAGCCTAGATGTCCATCAGCAGATGATTGGATCAAAAAAACTATGGTACATCTACACAATGGAATACTATGCTGCCATTAAAAAAGAAGGAATTCTCATCATTTGCAGCAACCTGGATGGAATTAGAGAACATCATGCTGAGTGAAATAAGCCAGTCAATGAAAGAGAAACACCACATGACCTCACTCATTTTGGATAATAAAGAACATTATAAACTGATGAACCAAAAGATAGATATAGAGACAGTAAAGCAACAAGCAGACTGTCAAATTACAGTGGGGAAGGTAGGGAGATCTGAGAAAGATAAGAGATCAACCAAAGGACTTGTATACATGCATATACATGCAAAACTCTGGGGAGGGAGGGCATGTATGGAAGGGGGGGCAATGGTATATGTACAGAGATAATAATTTAATAAAAAATTTTTAAATATATATTTTATTGATATTTTACAGAGAGGAGGAAGGGAGAGAGATAGAGAGCTAGAAACGTTGATGAGAGAGAAACACCGACCAGCTGCCTCTTGCACACCCCCTACCGGGGATGTGCCTGCAACCAATGTACATGCCCTTGACCGGAATCGAACCCAGGACCTTACAGTCCACAGACCGACGTTCTACCACTGA